CTTGCTGCATAGCACAATTTTCTAAGAGTTCTTCTAGGTGGATTTGCATTTGAGTTTTGATTTGGATTTGTATTTGGATCTGGATTCAGATTTGCTCCTTCTTCTGCCATATCTTCTATAATTGGGTTTGGTAAATCAAGTGTGAAAGAAGAATTAGCAGATTCTCTTGCAGCTTGTTCTTGTGTTTCCCTTCTTCTAGAGATACATGTCCTCTTAAACGCATAAATCAAAAGAGTAACTCAAGCAAATATTAGCACAAACTAAAAACTAAATAATAATCATAATAATAATGATAATAATAATGATAATAATAATGATAATAATGATAATGATAATAATAATAATAATAATAATAATGATAATGATAATAATAATAATGATAATAATAATGATAATAATGATAATGATAATAATAATAATGATAATGATAATAATAATGATAATAATGATAATAATAATAATAATGATAATGATAATAATAATAATAATAATAATGATAATGATAATGATAATAATAATAATGCTAATAATGATAATAATAATAATAATAATAATAATAAGAAATAAAAATAAAATACTCAATAAGTTAAACAAAGAATTCTCAAAGAACACCGTTCCCGGCAACAGCGCCGAGATGTTACTTGTTGAATTATTGGCAAGCGTACCAAAATTATCAATCGCAGTATACTATTTCGATAAAATAAAAGTCGATCCCACGAGAAACAGTTTCAATGAAAATTCTCAATTATACTTACTAAGTAAATTAAAACAGATTGAGTTTTGCAAATAAGAGTTGAATTGAAATTAAATGACAAAGAACTGTAAATTATTGAGAAAATATCAATTAAAGGTACTCAGGATTGACTTCCTTCCTTATCCCTCTTTTGTAATGGCTATGTCAATTAAGAAAGTCAATTAACCTAACAATGTTGATGCCACCTACTCAAATCATCCATGTTGATTCCTCACACATGAAATTCATAAGAAAACCTAATAAATGTTGATTCCTCACACAATTAACAAATTTTCCAGCATTAGGGTTAGGGTGTTTAAGCAATTGATACATTCATTTCATTTCTGGCAATTAACGTAACAAATATTCTTACCATGATCTAGGGTTTAAGATATATTTTCCAATCATACCTCAAACAATCAAGAATAAATCATTCCAAAGCATAAAGGATAAGAATAACAACATCAAAACATAGATTAATATCTTAAAATATCACCATGATACAAAATAGTTCAAAGGAAGTGCACCGAATCCTAAGAGAATGAAGTTAGCCACTCATGTTGGCCATTACAATGTTCCAATTGATGAAGAAGTGAAGAATTGATGAAGATTAGACAAAACCCTAACAGTAGTCATGTCTCCTCTCCTCCAAGACTGCTTGTTTTTCTCAAAACACAACTTATCTTTTTATAAGAGAATTTGGGTCAGACCTCGCATCATTCATTCACTTAAACGCTCTTCGTTCTTTCAATTTTACTCCAATTATGTTGACAATTATGCTCCTTACTCTTGTATCAAGATATTCTCAAATTCATCCTATATTGGGAGAAAAATATATTAGAATTAACATAAGTTAAAGGGTTTCATAACAATTTAAAGCATAATTATATCAACTTTTTACCACTTAACAAAGGTTCGTTCTATGACCTTGAGAGTATGAAGTCAAGAAAATCTTGAAGGTTTCTTTCACGTGGGTCTTCGAAGATCAAGAAGTTTGTTAAAAAAAACGTTTAAAGTGTGGTCAAGAAGCCTGCAAGATTTATCATGACAGGAGGTCTTGGAGGATTGATGCAGGGAGGGTTGCCCGTGTTCGATAGCAAATCTTTTGGAGATTGGAAGATTAAGATGAAAGCGGTATTTGAATTTCAAGAAGTGTTTGATATAATAGAAAATAGTGTCGCAGAAATTGGGAGCAAAGCTACGGAGGAAGAAAAACGAAATTTTAAGTTTCAAAAGAAGATGGATAGCAAGGCTAGGTTCTTGATATATCAGTACGTCAGTCCCATGATTTTTAATCAAATTTCAATGGCTAAAACCGCAAAGAAGGCGTGGGAGATACTTGACAAGACCTATGATGTTGGAGATAAACACAAGAAGGTTAGGTTACAAACATTAAGGAGGAGGTTCGAGTTCCTCATGATGGAAGAAATTGAGACTGTAGCAGAGTATTTGAATAAGGTGCAAGAGCTAGTCAATGCAATCCGAGCATGCAACATAGTTTCAGAGCAACATATCTTAAACAAGGTATTAAGATCTCTTCCACCGAGTTTTGATCATCTTGTAATTACGATTGAAGAAACGAAAGACTTGGAGCATCTTGAGATTTAGGAGCTGCAACAACTCCTTAGAGGCCCATGAATACAGACTCAGTGAGAGAAAACATATGCAAGATCAGGCCTTGCAAGCGAGATCGAGTTACAAAATGAAATCGAAAGGAACCAAGAAGAGTATGAAACAGTCAAAGGGTGCCAACCAAGATGATGTTGCAGGTGATTCAAAGAAAGGTAAGAGTCATGACACCAAGAATAGTAGAGAGAAAGGCTGGAAATTTGACAAGAAAAAGGTGAAGTGCTATAATTGTCAAAAGCTTGGGCACTTTGCTCGTGAGTGTTGGAAAGGTGAAGGGTCCAAGGCGAAGTCCAAGAATCAAGCTAACCTAGCTAAAGATGATGCTTCATCAGATTCGGATATAGTAATGCTCATGACAAAGACCAGCGAAGAAAGTTCAAAAGAATCATCTTCATGGTATCTCGATTCCAACTATTCTACCCACATGACTGGACGACGGGATTGGTTCATCAAGTTAAGTGATGTTTCACACAGGAAGATCACGTTCGCAGATAATCGGATTCTACAAGTAGAAGGGAGAGGTCGCATGGTGTTAATTGATCATGAGGATATAGAAATCATCATAGATGATGTTCTATACGTACCCGGATTAAAAACCAACTTGCTAAGTCTTGGGCAGCTTCTACAGAGAGGGTTCTTTATGGAGTTGAAGGAGAATGGACTTAACATATTTGATCAAGATAAAAGGTTGGTGATTCATGCCAAACTCTCGAATAATAAAACGTTTAGAGTGGGCATGAACACACGTAGACATGAGTGCTTTGCTTCCGTGGTTGATGATGGAGAATGGTTGTGGCACAACAGGTTTGGGCACCTCAATTTCCATGATTTGTATAGACTTAGTAATGATAATCTTGTTACAGGGTTACCACAAATCAAAATACCAGAAGAAGTCTGCTCAGAATGCATCTAGTGCAAGCAAACTAGGTTGTGCTTCAAGAAATTTGTTGGTGAAAAAGTAACGAAGAAGTTGGGAGTTGTGTACACTGATGTTTGTGGTCCTATGCAGGTCATAAACCCAGGAGGGAACAAATACATATTCACCTTCATCGATGAATACACACGAAAATTATGGGTGTATTTGCTTGCACGGAAAAGTGATGTTCAAGAAGTATTTGAAAAGTTTGTCAGGATGGCCGAGAGAGAGAGTGGGGAGAAGTTGAAGGTCTTGCGTAGTGATGGAGGTGGTGAGTATTCATCAATGAACTTCAACTCATTATGTGAGAAGGAGGGAATAATTCATGAGAAGACTCTACCTTATACCCCCTAACATAATGGAACTGCAAAACGTTTGAATAGGACATTGTTGAACATGATACGATGCATGCTGAAGGGAAAGAATGTGCGAAACCAGTTCTGGGGAGAGGCAGTCATTACTGTTGCACACATGCTGAACCATGCACCAACAAAACGTCTAGAGGTGACACCAGAAGAATCCTGGACAAGTGTCAAACCAAGTGTTTCACACTTCATAATTTTTGGATCCATGTGCTATAAGCATGTGCCAGACCCACTAAGGAGAAAGCTCGATGACAAAGGCACACCACATGTGTTCATTGGTTATCATGTAATAGGGAGATACAAGTTGTTTGATCCTGCCACAAAACAGGTTTCAATCAGCCGTGATGTTACGTTCAATGAGGCAAGCAGTTGATCATGAGATCGTGTTAAAAAAGAAGAAAGCAATACAAAAGTGACTTTCGATGAAGAAACTGACTCAGAAGATCAGGACCGAGATGAAGCGTCATCTACGAGAAGATCATGGCGCACATCACATCTTCCTTCACGTATGAGAGATTACGAAATCTTTGATGATTTAACAGTAACAGCGGATGGGAGCTTGATTCATTTTGCGTTGATTGCAGAGGCAAAACCCGTAGAATTTGAAGAAGCAGTGAAGAATCCTCACTGGTTGAGTGCATAGAGGAAGAGATTAACTCCATCAAGAAGAACCAGACCTGGGAACTTGTCCCACTACCACCTGGTAAGAAGTCTATTGCGCTCAAGTGGGTCTATAAGCTGAAGATTAATCCTGATGGAGAGATTTTGCGCTACAAAGCGAGACTCGTCGCCAAAGGGTTCTTGCAGAGAGCAGGGATAGACTACAGTGAGGTTTATGCACTTGTTGCTCGACTGGAAACGATTAGATTAGTGGTTGTTTTTGCCATAAACTCTAATTGGTCACTACATCAGTAAGATGTTAAATCCGTTTTTCTCAATGACCCACTGGAGGACGAGGTTTAACCCAGTGGCTTTAAACATCAGGAGAAGAAAAACAAAATTTATAAACTGAAGAAGATTCTATATGGGCTTAAGTAGGCACCAAGAGCGTGGAATAAACGTATTTTAGGATAATTTTTATAAAATGATAATTAAAAGTTAAAGCAAAATCAAACAAAGAATATGATGTGCTATAGACAAAACAAATGCATATTCATCCAAACACGGTTAATAATTACATCGTATCTACAAATTAAAATTCAGCATATAAAACTCTCCGTTATTATTCATTCCATTTGATTTTACACTTGCAAACTACCACCATCAGGACCTGTTCTATACATTCATTTGTTCCGTTTCTAGAATTCCCTCAAAACATGGAGCTTTTCATACCAGACCCAGCTAGCTAGTCATATAGTCATGCCTCGATGACAAGGTTGTTCATAGTTAGATCAATATAGGAATCAAAAAGGTTCTCCAGTGACTTGGTTTTTCTGTCCCGAACTCTGCCCTTTTCCTTCAACAACTCATCCAACCTCCTCTTCTCATCAGCCACATCAGGATTTGCTGTCCCAAGCTTTTCCTCCCTCATCACCAGAATGTTTTCCAGAATTTCAATCGCCTCATCCAGCCTGAAATCAAATACAATGTCAACGTGCACGAGGATTTCACGTAACCATTTCTTAGCCCTTCTAATCCAATATAAAACTCTCAAAATTAATGGACCAATTAATTGATTGCACATCAAGTCAATAAATATCACTCCGTAGTCATATCATAGTAATTGATTAATTACTATTTTATTCATCTGGGTCCTCTTATTTCTTAAGAATAGGATGATGTTTTTGTTAGATACAAGTCACTTTATATGTCTAACCATGACAAAGGTTTCAGAGGATGTAATCCCGAACCTATGACACTAATTCTTGACCTGAAAATAAAATAATAGGAATGATATTCATCATCGCTGTTATCGTGTTTTAAAATATAATATGCCACCATAAGTTAATTCTCTTAACGTTAATATTTAGTGCTTCTGTGAGTCAAGAATTGTGACAGAACTACAGTAGTGTTCATGAGGGCAATTTGAAACCTCGAATATTATTGACACGTATGACTCGACTATGATACCTAGTAATATACAATATCAAATGACTTACTACCCTACTTGGCATAATGCCACAATAATTAGAAAGTGTTGCAGAAACTCCGGCTATAAAAGGAGATTTTAGATTTTAGTAGTATAACCAAAAAAGAAAAGGAAGACAGTGGGTGGATACCTGCCAATTGCATCATACGTGCCAGCAAGATTGCCATATACTCCAAGTGTTTCAGTGTGATAGGGTCCATTCTCTTGTTCCAAAATGACCTTTGCTTCTTCAAATAATTGTGCAGCCTCATCTAAGTAATGGAGTTGCACACAAGCAAGTCCCATTTGATTAAGAACAGTACCAAAGAAGGATGATTTCTTTTCTCCAGTAGCACGAAGCTTCGACACGGCACTCTTGAAAGAATTGTAAGATTCAGTGTAGTTCTTCAACACATAGTACATGACCCCCATCTGAGCTTCAATTCCTGCTATTGTGTTTTTCTGACCAGAGACATCATTAAGTATGGTTAGTGCCTTGTGAAGTAACTTAAGTGCCACTTCTAGCTCATTCATTGACTCATAGATGGCTGAGACATTCATTAAACCACTAGCAGTGTCCTCTGGAGGGACTCCAGGCATCGGATTTTCATATATTTTAAGTGCATTCTCACAATATTGCTTTGATTCCTTTATCTTCCATGTTCTGCAATACAAGTCTGCCAGACGTACAAAAACTGATCCCACAGCAGGATGGTTCTCACCTTTGTGGGTCTTGAAAACTTTCAATGCTCTCTGATATGCAAAGATGGCCTCATCATATCTAGCCAAGGATAAGTATGTGTCTCCAATGTTGCAGTCCACAGATGCCACTTCTACTTCTTGGCCGTTTGCTACCATTGCCATGCTGGCCAGAACAAGATGCTCTAGGGCTGCTTCATGTTTGCCATCTGCTTCACATATAAGGCCCATTAGCCTCCTATCAGCTGCCTCTTCAAGAGATGAGGGTGAACCATTTGCTCTGTGGATATCAAGGGCAATTTGGCACATCCTCTCTGCCTCCGCAAATTGCAATGCTTGAAAGTTAGCCTCAGCCACATACCTACAGGTTTCGCCAACTCTTGGGTCTGTTTCTCCCAAAACCCTCCTTTGTACTTCTAACCCTGCAGAATAGCACTTAATTGACTTCTCAAGCTGGCCCAACATAGCATAAATGTCTCCTAGATGCATGTGACCAGCAAATTTAGCAATGGCGTGTTGTTGGCCTTCCTTAATATCAGGAATCTGAATTGAGCGCTCAACTAATGGAACTGCTTCATTGAAATTGCCCAAACTGCAATATATTACTGCAGTAACATGTAAACACATGGCCAAATCCAAACTTGGTCTCCCATAAGCAGCATTTCTCTCAAACAATTTCTTCGCTTGAAGGGCTAATTCAAGAGCTCTCTTCGGATTATCTCCTGATGAAATCATGTCCCTTGCTTGGTTTAGTAAAGCTTGTCCCAGTTCAGGCGTATCCAATGCTGATCCAGAGAATATATCAATATTACTTTGTGACAGTGATCTTCCATGACCAGGTTTTCTCGCACGGGGAGCACCTGTGTTTTGTTTTCTCAACGGGTTGTCATTCTTCCTATCAACAGGAGGTTTTGCAGGAGGATTTTTTCCTAATGCTCTTGACTTTGATGGAGATTCTGGGGACAACTGTGACTGTGATGCTATCTTGGCTTTTGGTGAAACAGCATAACTTACAGTTCTTGACTGAGTCTTATCCACCTTGTCTAGCTTCTTATAATCGGACAAACTACTCATTGTCGAAGAAGCTTGCCTGCTAGAATTCCATTGTTTCTTTTTCTCCGCTTCATCTTTCACTATCTCCACCTCTCTTTTCTGCCCTCCAAATAGATAGTGCGACATTGAATAGGTTCTGGACCCAGCGCCATCGAATCCAAAGCTTTGTCTCAAGGATGATTGATCAGAACTTTGCATTTCACAAACATTTCCATGAAGCCGCTGATTTGAGGGACTATGAACCACCCTATCAACAGGAAAAGCTGGATCAATACTTTGGCGTCTTTGTAGACTCAAAGAACTCCTTCGAGTTGTGGTTTCCGTCAAGGGTGGAGTGTAACCAAACCTATTCATTACATTTACTCCCCTTTCATAATTATCTTCCATATTCGATTCCCTAGGAACCAGAATCACTGGGACAACAAATATGAAACACAGTACATAAAATGAACCCTTATCCATGTATCAGGAAAATCAAACATCATCAATAAAAAGTATATGTTATAACCGGAAGTGATGCAAAGTAATAAAGAATGCACTTGAAGCCACGTGAAAGAGAAAGGAAATCCTAATTACAATATTGGAGTGATGGCACAATATGTTGATGTGTTATACTACTATTCAATTGATGGAAACAACATGGTTATCGGTTATCATGCAAAGCATATGCATAAAACTAATGTTATTGGAAACGATGACCAGATTCCCATTTCACAACAAAAATAATTCTTCACAATACATAATAAAGCTGTAACGGTTAATTATAAAAATACAAAATCCACAACCAATGATGTAGCAAAATCAAATTAAAAAGGTCAGAAAATTAACATAAAGCGAATATATATGTTCCGTTTTGTCCTATCCTCATCTTGGTATTCAAACATGGAAGCTATACCTTAACAATGGACACCAAAACAAGGCAGCGAGAGGGTATAATTATATACCCTCAGAATTGAAAGAATTCCAATTCTTTTGGTGAGAATGAAACACAAGCTATACAAAGAAGGGGAAAATAAAGAAAAGAGAATAGGTTTCACTTTCTGAATAACAAGATTTGAAGAAAAAAAAGAAAAAAAGGTTTTGGTTTTGTGGAGCTGGAAATGGAATATCAAGACACTTCTTCCCCAACCAGCCAACCGCGCGCAACCGTAACTGTCGTTTTTATTTTCTTTGTTTTTTTGTTCGTTAAACTACTCTCGGATGCCACGTGGCAACCCCGTTTTCCAATATGGTATAGTTACGATTCAACCCCTTAAAACACATGCAATAGCAATTTTGGTAACGTGACGCAGCTGATAGATGAATATCCAATCAAATTTATCATTCTTTCACACCGTCTTTTCCATTAATAATATGGTGTAAGTGTAAGTGACATGTAAATTCTTACTAAATGTTTGTGCAAACATGTTTTTGCATTGACATAAAACTTTTTTTAAATTTATCTTAATACCATTTTAATTATAAATAATTTCCAATATAGGGTATCATGACCTCCACTGATTTAAGATTAAAAAAAAACCTCTATTCTATTTTCTCCAACCTTCTGTATTTGTTTTACTATTTTATTTTAGTGTAGGCACAAGATCACAATGACATAAGAAGGGATTGAACCGTGTTTTTTCTTTTTTGAAAAATTACTCTTAATTTTTTTCAAACTATAAAAATATATTTGTAAATATGTTTATAAATGTTTCTTTGTTGTATAAATAAAATAATTGCATTTTAAGTTTTTAATTACACAACAGATTTATATCGCTAATTGCTTTCACTTTTATTAGAGAAAGAAGATAGGCTGATTAAAAAAAATTGAGAATTTTTTCATAAACTATTGAATGTGAGAGACAAATGAATCCAAAGATTCATATTTGGTTTGGGAAGGGATATATACATTTTGAAATAAATGGAAAGCGTTTTTATTTTTAAAATAATTATTCTTATTTTTTCGAACTAAAAAAAATATTTGTAAATATTTTTACACACGTTTCTTTGTTATAAAATTTTAATTATGCAAATTTTGACAGCTGTGGGATTTGAACCCACGCCCTTTCGGACCAGAGCCTAAATCTGGCGCCTTAGACCACTCGGCCAAACTGTCTTTGTTTAATAAATCAAATAATATATTTTATAAATCAAAAAGTTTATGTTATAAATATAAAACTTTCATATTAAGAAGAAATAAAAATAACTTTATATTCTCAGAATTTAGTACCATTTATTTATGTAAGAAATTGACAGCTGTGGGATTTGAACCCACGCCCTTTCGGACCAGAGCCTAAATCTGGCGCCTTAGACCACTCGGCCAAACTGTCTTTGTTATACGTTTTGCGCCATTAATTATAACAAATTAAAATACCTTCTTATGCAATCAACAAATTATTTTATTTATACAACAATTGTTCTCACTTTTTTCCCAGTCTGTACGTGTCTTCCATGTTATCATACCTAGGTCTCTGAAAATAATGCAAATCATGATTAGAAGATGTTTATTTATACACAAAAAAATGAAGATCTGGCAAATCTATAGTTGTGTTGGTAAGAATATGGAAGAGGATTATACTTATAAATTAAAAATATAACATATTTTTGGTTCTTGGGATTGATTTAATACAATTGATTAGACATTACTGATAGAGAAGAATGTTAAGGTTTGCAAGAAGCAGATATATTGGCAGTGGTATTACATTTTGGTAAGCATCTGAGAATAAGGTTATTAGGAGGTGGTTTGTAAGTGGATAAAAATTCTGGATCCTGCTCAAGTTCTTCACTGTAGCTCTCCAAAATTGCAACTATCTCATCAAAATGTGGTCGTTTATCTGGATTGCTTGACCAACATCTGTTTATGAGATGACTAAATGCCCGTGGACACTCACATGGTAACGGAGGCCTTTCATTCTGCACAAAATCCATCAAACTCAGTCGCTACAAACAGACACAAAGTGTATTTTTAAATATTTGAAATTAAGAGTAAACTTGTATACAAAATTATTCACCACAAAATTACCCCAAAATGCCTAAAATCACATCACCTAAAGGATATCGTGCAACATGAGCGAAAACAGTGAACGTGAAACTTATATTGGTCCAAATATATAGTTGATCGAATCTGTAAGATGATTTTGGCACACCGAGTTGGTGTTGTGTGCATGTGGGTGGAATGATTGAGTGTGATAAATTTGGATAGCAGATACCGAATCTTTAATGTTATGAAGGCTCTACCCTAGGGTAATATAATATTGTTGATGAGGTGTCTTGGTTTGATGAGAAAGGGTTTATGATAAACATACCCACATGCTCTGTAAAGTTCATATCATCACACCCCATGAATGATATTGCCCATCATATCCAGAACGATTCGGGAAGTCTGAAAAGTCACCCCTACTCAAACTACTCTAGGTAGCCTTAATTGTAACTTGATTATTTTCACTTCTTCTTATCCAAACATGTAGAAATAAAAATACAATACCTTGTGAGTCACAGCATATGCTGCCTGCTCTGGTGTCATGTTGTCAAATGGGGTCAATCCTGTTAGTATTTCCCACAGAACTATGGCGAAACTATAGACATCTACTTTTTTGGTGTGACGCTTTTCTTTTATCATTTCAGGTGCCATCCAACGGTATGTTCCAGTGAATCCTTTTGCACTACCAGTCTGAGATTCCAAGCATGAGATTCCAAAATCTGCTACTTTTACGCACAAATCTTCCCCCAACAGCAGATTTTCTGATTTGAGATCCCTGTGAAGTATACCCTGAGAATGAAGATATTGCATTCCCCGAGCAATGTCCAAGGCTAATTTCAGAACAAGCTTGTGAGGAACTGAATGTGGTCCTTCCTGAATCAAGTATTTTCTCAAGGAACCCCCAGCCAAATATTCAGTAATAATACAGAAGACAGGAGGTTTCTTGCAAGCTGCAACAAACTGCACAACCAATATATATAATGTAAATATCTGTGCGAAAATGTTTTGTTTTTTTATTATATTCAGCAGTTGCAAACATTCACATAAACCCTTGTCTTCTCAGTTAAAAAGTTACTCTGGTATTAGGCTAGCACTTATGTGATAGGCCACAATGCCACATATCTGCTTCAAAGAGAATGATTTCACCGGCTGAAACACCTTTTGCTCAGCACATGTTGTAAAATCATATTTTCTCTATAATTCCCTTTTGCTAATAATTGATTCATTTTACCTAAAGTCTTCAGATGAAGACACGACACACCTGGTTTCAAATCACCTGTCCCCATTTATCAGTCTCTTTTTATTTCCCTCCAATTAAAAACCAACACTCAACAACAACAACAACGACAACCACAGGATAGAAAACACACTAACAACCTGAGAGAAGGTCAATGACGTGTCATTTTTCGATTAGCAATAAAGAGAAGGAGTACCTCTGTGTACCACCGTATCATAGAGTCGTTAGGTGTAGAAACGGTTTTATATTTCTATAACTATATCACGCAACACTTGCATCTTTAAGCCATACGAAAGGTTGGTGTGGGAGGGAAATGCTATATATTCTTTTGATCACTGAGAAAATACAGGTAAAGGGAATAATACATGATGAAAGGACATTAAGAGTGAGGACCATAGTATGTTCCATGCAGAAATAGAGATGAATGGTTGAAGAAAGAGAACTCACGGTAATGATATTTGGATGGCGCAATCGAAAGAGCAAAGCAACCTCAGAAGTGAATTGCTTCTCTAGCAAAACAGCCAAGTCCTCATCCTCCTCCGGTTGACTCACCATCTTAATTGCAACATCCATGTGCTTGTAGATGCCTCGGTAGATCCGGCTATGCCTGCCAGAAGCAAACTTGGACCCGATGAACAACTGAGACAGATCAGCACTCCATTCTTCTTCAGCCTCACCCTTTATGGCTGCCCCTGAAGAGATCAAATACTTGGACCATGACACCGCTCGTTTGTATTCCCCTAGTGAAAGTCTTCTCCCTGATCTAACGTTGTTAGAAATTTCTTTAAACCAGTATAAGTTCTTCATGCTTCCCACTCAACCCTTATGGGAACCCAATGCAGATTCCAAAAGTTAGACTAAAGTTTTTGTTTTTAAAAATAGTGAGTAATACCCAGTTTGGACAAACTTGTTTTTCATAGCTTAAACTAATTCACTACGCTACCTACATTTCGAATCATTATCACCATTTACGCAGTTGGAAAAAAGGAGAACAAATAAAAAGAAACCACCTCATATGTGTACTTGTGTACACCAGAATTATGTTATAGTATAGGCATAAGGCACAGTTGTTGCTTGGTAAAGTAGGAACCAATGAAATCACAATAGATCAAAGAAAAGAAAGGAAAAGAGGTGAGGGTTGAGGGGGATTTGAGTGAGAGAAAAGAAGCGAGGAAGAGAGAGGAATTGAAGGTGAGGAAGGTGTGGAGAGAGTGAGTTAAGTTATTGTTGGATGGTGCAGTGAAAGAAGAGGAAATGGAAATGAGAGAGATGAGATGAGAGGTGGTTTATTTTCTTTCCAAACACAGGAACTGACATTAGCACCTACGTTCCTAACGTGCGAAGATATACTTGTGAGGAGACAAACGGGGTCAGGTTGATGATGACCCCTACCTCACCCCTTTCCAATTCTTTTTTCTTTCCACTTTCAACCTATGTTTCCCACCGCATTATCATCACTGCCATTCATTCGCTAACCTTCAATTTATTTCTCACACTCCTCTCCCTCTTCCATTTATTGTTTTCTTTGTTTTCTAGCCCCCAGCATGTGCTTTGTGCCAGGAGGCCCTTGCATTTCCATCATTCTCATTCTAACAACTACTTCTTTCTTTTTACACTTGATTTTCAATGTAAAAGATTTGAATTTTTATATTATAAATCTTGGTATATTTTACTTATAACATAGTATATTTAGTTTGAAATATTTAATAATAAAAAAAACAAAGGAAAAAATAGATAGCTACCGACCGATATCAAATAGTAAGATCTGAATGTGAACCTTAGGATTCGAATAACTTCTCCCCCAGATACACTTTGGATAAGCTTACCAGAATTATAGTATTTTTTCTCTTCTTTTACAAACTCCTATATAGTATATATAGTATTTATTTATCGTCTAATTGATTGTTTATTTCTGTTTTTAAAACCATTAAACAACAGTTTCTTTTTAAGAGAATTAAACAACAGTTTACACCAAGCAAAATTCCTCTTAATTGTTGGGATTTTTTCTCAAGGTACATGTCCCATAACATTTTCTAGTGCTTTTGTCATGAAAAAAAAAAAGAAAAAGATTGAGCTTGCATTATAAACAAGCATGAAGTCTCCCTTCGATCTAAGTCAACAACTAAATAAATAAAAAAGAACAACATTCGAATTGTATATGGTTTCTATAACAAATGTAAAATTTGTTAGGAATTACACAATAGCAAGAATTTTGAAACAATTGATTTAGTTTGAGAGGTTTGAAATAAGATATAATTTTCTTATATTAATTGCTAATTTTTTTAAAGGAGACACATTTTCATTCAAAATCAAATATTCAATAGATGTTGGGATAAAATGAGAGACATAGTTATTGACATATAATCTTGACCTAGCAAGAGAATGACAACACATTTGAACTTGTCTTCATTGTGTTCTTCGAATTCTCTAAATAAATATTAAAAATAGGTAGATTTAATGTGGTGAGTGTTAAAATTGTATTTAAAGCAACGTGGAAATGATTTTGGGATAAGATGGAGGCATTATTATTTGGCATTTGATGGTGTGGTGATTGGGAAGGAGTGGGTTTTTGGCAGCGTTGGCTGAAAGTCTCAATCAAAAGGAGAGAAAAGCTCTGAACCAGTGACTGTGTCGCACTTGTCTTCACTTTTGACCATCATCCACTGTGCCCTTCACAGATCACGTCCAACCCAACCTCGCTTCACCCTCTCCCAACACACTTACTTAATAATTCCCTCCCACCCCCTGGGGGCATTCTCGTCACTTCCCTCTTTCCGACAACCCGTATACAGTTATGGTCCTCTTCCGTATACGGTCTCTTCCTTTCACTCACATTTACTCTTCCCCTCCATGCAAAGCAATGCATTCACTACCATTCTCAATGCAACCTCTACATCTATTTTTAACTATTTTCACTAATTCTTCTTATTTTTCGCGGATTTTTTTTTTTTTATATTTATTATGAAAAGGAAAAATACAAAGATGTTTTTAACAGAATTTTTAAACAACATCAACTGGGCCAGAATAATTAAGGGAAGATTTCATTGCTTTATCATATATATACATATATCCACATTTTACTGATAATACTCGACTCTACGTATAAAAATATTTTAAACTGACATAGTGTATATAAATTATATTTTACCATAAATTGTGAAATATTCTCTTGTCCTAAAAAATGATATAGATTACTTAAGACACGATAAAGGAAACAATGAGAGAAACTCGTGTTTGCATTGAAGAAACATTGAGAGAAACTCCTCTCTTATCATGCTGCAACCCTAACTGCTATGCTACAGCTACAGCTACGTTTCAATGGTCAAGATTTAGTTTTTAAGAAGTTGATGAATGGGTACCCACAGCCAATGGATTGTCAAACCTAAATTTGACTAAAAGTTTTTCCTTGTCTGCTAATAAAGGTATTATTAGGCTTTGAAAGAATCCCTGAATAAATATACTCTCAACAATATAATCCGTTGCCTTAATTGCTCTTTATTTATTCTTTTACAAATTATTTTTTTAAATAACTTCATATTACGCGGTAATTCATTTCTCATCTAAAAGGTATCAATTTTTTAAAATTATTTTCGAAACACTTTTAAATATACTCAAGTTTTTGTCTTTTTTTTTTTTTAATTAGAAACACTATATATGGTTGCATGAATTTGTTTCCATTTAAAATCGTGAAGCTTTTTTTAACTTGCAACAAAAGATCTAAGGGTGAGTGTATGAAAAATGAACGAAAGAACTAAATAACTTAAAAAAGTAAAAGACATGACAATAACCTAGATTAAACAAGCAAAGAAAGAAAAAGCATTGTGGTTCTACACAACAAAAATACCAAAAAAAAAATGCCGACAGAAGACAAATGTAAAGAGTTAGGCAATGTATTTGATTTAAAAATATTAAAATTGAAGATTTTAGAGAGAGAGAGAGAGAAAGTTTATACATCCAAAGGTATGGTAGACGAATAAGTGAGTTAAAAGGGCAGAGGTGAATAAGTGAGGGTGCGCTGACGAATCATGTGATGTGGTGCCACCATGTGTCCATGGCTGGTGAAGGTTACAGCTTGACAACAGCTGATGCATCCTTTAGAACCGGCAACCTCTTCACACGCCTTACCATCTCTCTCTTTCTTTCTTTTTTATTTTGTATTACTATAAACCTATCATTCTAGTTTTAGTTAATGCCTAATCAAATTTATACCAATATTAGTAATTAAAAGGTAAGTAATTGCTTGTAAAAGCATAATCACTGATACCATTGGGTTCAGGTTCACAAGGACACAGTTTTGACTGAAGAAATATACACTCTTAGGCTTTGTTTGGTTGGAGTGATTTGAGAGGGTGAAATTGAGAGAGTGGAAAATGAGGGATTTGAAGAGAAATGGAGATGATTGAAAAGTGAAAGGAAAGTTTATGGAAAATTGTGAATGATTTGATTGATATGAGATATAAAAATTATAATTTTATGTTGATTATTTAAGAAAATTACCATTTTACCCTTTGTATAAAATAAGGTTCAAATGATTATAAATATAAATTTTTAATTAATTATCCATATTTTGACATTGATTATATATTTAAAAGAAAAAACAAAATTAAAAGTGTTTGTAATTGGAAACAAATTTAAAAAATTAACTTTTTTTAGATAGTTATTAAAAATTATATAAATAAACAATTACAAAATTATGTACATTGCATATCCATATTCAAATAATGTTGACATATTAAATAAATTATTTGACTAATAATTAAATAATTATAAAATATAAAATAATAATTAATATTGATCTGATAATAACAAATAATTATGAAAACTAATAATATAATTGTACATTATTATTTAAAACAAATATAAAATACGAGTGAAAATAAAATAATAATTAAATGAAACATTACTAAAATTATAAACCTATGCACACTAATGCTCTTCAAACAAATAATTATAATGTTATTCATCTTTTGCAATCAAGTCCTCCAGTTCAGATCATTCAATCACTTCCACTCAAGAACATGAACAACCTGGGAGAGACGAAGATGTCCCATATATCTGACTCGAATGTTGAAATGTTGATGATCGTCTCATCACATTAACTTGAGATAAAATAATTACAATATAATTTTCTACTTTAAGAATTAATAATATAATTAAACTCAAAATTAAGAATACTCTTATACATTTTTGAACTCTTTTGGATAAATTTTGTTTTCCTAATTTTTGATAAAGTTAATTTTAATATTTAAAAGTATTTAACATTTTGAATTCTAAAAGGTTTTCTCTAATAGCAAATTTAAAAACATAATATTCAAAAAAATATTTTAAGATTCGAGTCTCGGGTTGCATTTCGCTCGAGCGACTATATCTCGCTCGAGCGAAAAATGGTCCTGATCGATCATAATTTGAAATGATCGATCATAATTGGAGGATATAATAGCGGTTCCTCTGTAACCGCTATCTAAAGTGTATATTAGATAGCGGTTCCAGTGGAACCGCTATCATATACAACCATATTTTAATTTCTTCAGTCTCGGGTTGTGTTTCGCTTGAGCGACTATTTCTCGCTCGAGCGAAATATGATTCTAATCGATTAGATTTAAGAAATGATCGATCATAATTGGAGGATATAATAGCGGTTCCTCTTTAACCGCTATCTAAAGTGATATATAATAGCGGTTAAGATTTAACCGCTATTAGAAGTGATATATAATAGCGGTTATGTTTTAACCGCTATTAGAAGTGATATATAATAGCGGTTAAGTTTTAACCGCTATTACAAGTGCTATTATAATAGCGGTTAAGATTTAACCGCTATCATATGGAAGAGGGTAAGTTGGACATTTCATTATCTCCAGCAGACTTTCGTCTCTTTTCTTCGCAGATTAGCGAAGAAAGTCTATCTCCCCTCTCCCCCTTTTCCTCGCCTGCATTTCTTCGCAAATCTGTTCAACCAAATGTAGGTGAATCTCGTGCTTCTGTCTTCGTCAACAGTATTTCGTCGCAAATCAGTTCAAACAAACACAGCATTAGGATCTCGATCACGGCTTCAAATGTGTAACCCAACCAGAAGGTTGGAGGACGGAAAGTGCGAGCTACCAAATTAATACCACTCTGGACTCACACCATTACTGAGGAAAATAAAATGGAAGCCAACTCTAGTGGTTGTTCATGATGATATTTACTAATTTTTTAAGATGCAATGATGTGGATATTGTACTTTGAATTATCCAATGGATGCTAAAAGTAGTGGTTAGGACAATTTTTTCCCCCTTCACCACTGAAAGAAGCCAATTATTATCACAAATTCACAAGAAAGGGTTGTTGGTGACAACTCTTTATCTAAGGGTCTATTTTCATTTCTTCATATCAATGATACATGGGGACAACTAGCAATTGATGTCATTGAATTTGTTCTTTCTCTTCTCTATGATTTCAGAACCAAATTCTACTCAAAATAAAATTATCCTCATTCAGATGACATCACATGCCGGAGTAGGTACCATAGTAACTAGTTAGGAAAATTGTTAGAGAGATCAAATAAAAAATAAATAAAAAATGTGTTGTGAAAATATATGATATAAATAATCAATAATTAAGAGGTTTTAGCGGTACAGAAGATATCCTTGGCCGTACTTAATTGTGTGTTTGGTGGCAATTAAAGTTAAAGCATAATTAAATTAATTAGGAATTCAAAGTTTGATGCATATGCAAAGATGCGCTAAGATGTATAATTATCATAACTCATAAACTACTAATCATTCTGAGGATAGGATGGCCAAGATTTTAGGTTAATACTCCTAAACTCATTTAACCCTCTCTCACAAACTTGGTCAAAGAGTCAAATTATATGTTATATTTAATATATGTAATAATTCAAAAATTTGCTCAATATTATTTTTTAATCAAAATGCATAAAAAAAATCAACTAACGTTAACAAAAAAAAATTCTCCGTTCATTTTCAACTCATGTTAATCATAATTATTTCAGCTGAAATTAATAAAGATTATTTTATATATATAGTTAGTCGGATACTTTTTTGTCAATGTTTCAATAAATATTAGTTAAAAAATTCTCGAACTGATTGACAAAAAAATATTTAGTCAAAAGTTTCTTCAATATTAGAAAAAAAAATGCTGACAAATTTGTAGTAAATAACACATAGACTAATAACACTTACAAAGGTTGATCCAAAAGTAGCTATGAAAGTAGTCAACAAAAAATTGTACCAAGCATACTCAGAAAATATATTTTGTCCAAATATACAAAATCTTAATTAGCAAAATAACTCTAATCTACATCAACGAAAAAATAATCATGATTAATTTTACTCAATAAAAATTCTTGTTGACATCATTAAAAAATTGAGTCAATGAAAGTGTTAAAAAAATATGATTTCTTATCTAAACAATAAAAGTAATTAAACTTATTATCCAAACCATTGTATTTTATAAAATATTTCAAAATTTCTGTTAAAAATAAAATTTATCAAACAAAATAAATACTATTCGAACTAACAGTACTTATTTTAAATCATGGCGAAAATAATTTCTGTAGTTGTAGTCTTGCTCATTATAATACATTATGTATTTCAATACACGACATACATTAAATTTTAACAAGAAAAAAGTTGAAAGAATACATTTTGTCAATCCTTTATTTACAATAAAATCCATCTATTACAAAAATATAAAAATAATAAATGAAATTAAATTCATTCATTTGATTTTATAGATAATTAATGATTCATATATTATTATATATCAAAATCTAATAGATCCTCATGATATTATATAACGATCAAAATTAATCCAACCAATTATTTTTATTAAATCTTTCTTTCTAGAAGTTTCCAAAACTATCTTTCTAAACTTGTTCCACAAAAATTTAGTCTGAAAACTTTTTAAAAAAATTAGAATATTATTTTGATAGATGGATTGGATACTCATTCATTTTAAAAAAAAATCAGATTTTTAATTAACTTTTTAATAATTTTTTATTTTCATTATATAATTCGAAATAAAAAATTATACTATCCTAATTTAAACTATCAAAGTATACTTTTACTGGAAAAATAATTCATTGCTGAGTTCCCAATTCTGTCAAATACGAATTAATTCCAAACATGTTTGTCATTCTTAGATGACAAAATTAACAAGTACAAAGTCTCAACACTTCCAAATGTATTGTTTTTATTTAATGAATTTGTGGAATGCTGCGTCCAAATAAGATGATAACATGTTTCATTTTGGGTGGGGGTTGTTAATGAATATTGAATGATATCTAATTATTTATGCTGTGTTTGTCCTTCTATCTTTCACATGTCTTTAGTATGCAATGCAAACACTTATTATTACATTTATGAATTGTTGGCATGTGGATTCATCTGTCTGAGGGAGGGCAAAATCCCCCAAGCTTCCGACAAATTATATAATGGCAAACAAAGCACAACGTGTGATTGTTGGATCGGAACATGAATAATAATGATAATACTAAGTTTATCCAAATTGTTATGTTTTGGATCCAACTTCTTCTTTTATTTTTATTATTTTAACTGGGTTCCATGGGGCCCAAATGCCTATCACATCATCAGACTGGACAAACCCTTTCCAGTGTATCTTCTTGGATCATACATATAAGATGGGGCACAAACTGGGCCATCGTATTCACACACCTTCTTTTTTTTTATGTGGTTTTGTTTAAATGTTTACTATTTTTGGTTTTATGTGGATAAATTATTTTTTAAGTCTAAAATTGATTTTTAAATAGAAATAATTTAGATCAATTTTTTATTAGCTGCAAATTATATTAAATTTTACTACTAACTTATTTTTAAATTACAAATAACTTGTTTTTATTATAGATTTTATATATTGTAAAATGTGATGTAATTTGCTTTTTTTGGAAAGAATGAAAGGGGTGGGGAGATGAAACAGGGAATTGAAAATATCATGGCCCGAAAGCAATTTTATTTCCCATTGTATTACTCTCTATGGTACTATTTTTCCTTTTCTTTTTTAAGCATACTCATTTTGTCACATCTTTCTCACTATTACTTTCTGTCTTTCTCTTACTTGGGTAAATTAATTTACAACACGGATAATTTGTTTTTTTTTTTAATTTAATTTTTAAATTGAAATACTTTTGTTTAACGCATAATGTATTAAATTTATTTTATTGATGTAAAACTCCGTATTGTTGCAGATAGAAAATTTTGATTTAAAAAAGAAAAAACTACAAAAGGTAGTAGTTGATCAAGTTTTTCCATGAAGATTAATCATGATAAAATTAATATATACTTTATGTCTAGTATATAAAACAAAATATTTAAAATCAGATAATATACATTTTCATTGATTTGCTTTTGCACCTTGTTATCCATGTGGATGTGATGACTAGCCAATTATATCATGAATTAAAATAAAAAAATATTCTGTAGCTTCAAAACAAAACTAGAAAAAGGAAAAAATGTTTCTCGTCTTGCTGCAGAGCAACCTGCAATCCTTTTCACCCAACCATTTGATCCATACCCATTTTTTAAGCCCAAGCTCGACACAGGCACTCTACTTGACGGATATCAATTAATTAACTCACCACTATAAAATTTCCATGTACATCAACACAAGAATTCAAGTAGTGGAATAAATAATCCGCTATACTTTTGCCAGATTATTGTTTTCAAAATTCAAAATAATAAAATTGATTACTCTAAAATACAATTTGTTAGTTATACAATACAATGTACCTATCTTCCGGAGGAGTGTGTGTTTGAAATTTGACGTTTCATAGAAACATCTCTTCTTAGTATGTCCCCGCAATATTAAGTCTGTATTGGAAGGTTTGAAGGGTTCTATTTGAACAGTGAACAATACCAGTACCTGAAATTCTTTCCAAAACGAAACAGAACCCTAGTGTTCCTTTTCTTTTTCCCAAAAAATTTGCATCCCTGAAAAATAATAACATATCCGTACCAACTAAATCTGAACCTCATTTAGGGAATAACAAAAGCGATATTCTTCGCAAGCACATTAAAACACGAACATCTAAATGCATTTTAAAGCGAACAAAAATTTTCCCCAACAATATCCTGCAATTGTATGTAATGTATACAAGTCTGTCTGTACAGTAAAAAAAATCAGCGGTAGCAAGACTCTAGAATGCATTCCTCCACAGCAATAATAACAAAGGAAGAGAAAAAAGTGTAGTTGTGTGTGTATGTATGGAAACTAAGAGAGGTTATAGGAGGTAAAAATGTTGCTAGGAGAAGAGAGTGCAGAGGTTGTAGCCAGAGATTAAGGAGCTAATAGCAAAGGCAATAAAAGCAAGAAAGGCCATCGCAACAGAAGCACTAGCCATCTCAGTGAACTCATCTTTTCCCCAGTTCGATAGCCAGTCATCGACGCGTGTGGCTGCAGATGATGCAGACGATATCAGAAGATACGCCAGAACCTGCCCCATCACAACAAATTTCAATGTCACCCACATTCAACAAAGAATTTCAACCCAAAAAGAAAATACATAAATTGAACTATAGAGACTTGCCTGATCCATGAAGAAATCAAAGTGGTAACGCAGGTGGTGATTGATCATGCTTCTCCCTGTGACCACTTGATATGCCAGATCACACGTTTGAAACGCTGCGTATACAAATGCGATAACATTCACCGATAAACAATACCTGTCATATCAACCATCATTGTTACAATCCAAACTACACCAAGTTCCCAATTTCAATAAAGCAAATCAACCATACATGTTTGATAAAGGTTTCAATGAAATTATTTATTACAATCGATAACGCGTTGACCCGAATAACCAAAAAAAAAAAAGTTGAAATAATAAAGAAATAAAAAATCATTAAAAAAAAAAACCTTAAACCTGTACTCCTTGTAGCGATCAAAAGAATCACCGCTCCAACCACGAGTCTTGTCCGCGGCCATAACCGAAAACGAAACCAGACACAGCACCACCTCGCTCAATCGGAACCCTAATGCCACCTTTTTCAGTATCATCACTCTTTTCGGCACTGCAGGAATGGGAGGCGGCACTGCCCTGGTTCGCCCGCGGGCGCCAATTCCCGGAGAGCGAGACTCCGGGCGCGCAGGGCGGCTGACCACTACCTCCGGCGGTTCATTGGGCGGCGGGTTGCGGTGCTCGGAATCGGTGGCGGGGGGCGCGGCCTGGGCTAACTGCGTGGAAGTCTCGACGATGACGATGGCCCTGGAGTTGTCTCGGTGGTCATTTAGCGGCGAGTTTTCGGGCGAGTGAAAGGGGTCGCCGTTGTCGGAGAGCGGGGAGGATCGGAAGCGGAGAGGGGAGTGAGGCGATTCGAAGTGAGTGGAGGCGTCGGAGTTCTTCATAAAGGGCAAGGCGTTGGTGGAAACGGTGGTGGCGGAATTTAAAGAGGAAATAATGGGGAATAAAGATGAGGAGTGTTTGGGTGCTGAGAAAGTGGAAAGAAAGTGAAAAGCAAACAGTGGGGACTAGGCATTTTTCGCTTCGAGGTTTTCTGCGTGGGGCCATGCCACGTGGGTTCGATTCTATTTGCGTTTTCTTTAAGAGCGTTACGATCTCGCCACGTGGGCTCATCGTACGGTCTGCTATGTGTTTTGATTCTTGGAGTGCAGAGAGGATAAAGTGTGGCTCTGTACCAGATAGAAGCCTCAGTTCTTCCAGTTACTTGGCAGTTCCAGCTTACTTGACTTATGGAACATAGTTGTTTCCTCTTTTCATGTATATATTATTGAGTCAGATGTAATTGGCAACATTATATTATTGTTTTAGTAAGTTCATTTTTCTACTTAAAAAAAAAAAATTAATTTTTGAAAAAAATGTATGACAATTACAAACTGTATTTGATGATGGCTAATTATAAATGTGATAATTTTATCTAATTTTGAGATAGATTTGCTTATAATAATAGTTTTGCTGGACGAGATAGTAATATAATTTCAACTAACATATAATATAGTTTTGCTGGACACATTTATTATCACGAAATTACAAACGATCAGTGATATAATTACTAATTTTATAATAGCTATTTAAAAGTCTTATTATCTGCTGATAATTTTTAATCGGCAAAATTACCATTAATAAAATATAATACTCATTTATTCCATACTCTCATTTAATTATAGATTATCCTTAATATTAAAATTTACTTAATGAAAGCATACATATATGATAGTTTTTAAGATTAACAATAATAAAATATTTTCTATTTTGATTTTTTTCTTTATCTTAATTTGGTTTGCACTTTACTCTCTACAACATGCATGTAAAAATGAGATGTACGATAATGATCTTTCGAAAAAAAAAAACAAAGGTCTCAGCGCAATAATTACGACATGATAGTGCTTCTCATTTATAAAAGGTTCCATCACCTCAATGATAAAACCTTTCTTTTTCAGCATTTCCTCAATTAAGTTTCTGATAACGAGGTTTAACAATTTTTTATAATAATGGGAAAATGAGTATGACTGAATAAAAATTAGATGAGTTGTTGTTAGCTAAGGCGAAACGAGATAATAAGAAGGAAAAAGAAAATGGTGAAATCGAACTGGGTCCAATCCATATATATACATGCAAGCTTTTAGAAAAGAGAAAAAAAAAAAAGATGGCATTTGATCGGTGAGTGTGGAAAAGACACCAATTCCTTCACACACTTCAACCAAACGTCTATTGGCAATGTTCCTCCCACGCGTCTTAATGACATTGATTAAGACAAAAACTAGCATGGAAAGTAAACTCCATTAAGATCAACATTTTCTTGCTTATCTCAAAACACCTTTTATCTCTTCACCCACCACCAAAAGCACGTCTAGGGTTATACAGGAATCTACCTGCAATAGCTGTGAAAAGCATCTTTCTCACATAATTATCTTGAGGGACCACACCATGCGAACTTCCATGCCATGACAATCTTATTCTTTCCTTTAGAAGAGGGCATAAGATCAAACATATAGCTTTCACTATTATTTCCTGTCTTTTCTCAGCAAAGAATAACTTTATTTTTATTCCCATTAATCTTAATAACTATAAATTTTCATGCTTTATATTTTTTATTATTTTTTATATCTTTCGGAACCTTAATAAACTTATACGATATTCAGTAAATCGAGGATAGTTGTTTTATTCAGTTTGAATTTTTATAAATTATAATTGAAACAAATATAAGACAAAATTTTTCCATATATCAAACTAAAAATAAATAAATATTTACAATTTTCTAATAATATTAGTACCACATGGCGCAATTAACTATTGAAAATCAGCTGACAATATATTAATAGTAGAAGAAAAATATATTATGTTATAGCCAATTTGAAAATAAAGCATTCAAATAAATATAATAGTAGCAACATGTAATAAAGAACAATCTTCAAATTCAGTTTGAAAACGAATTTAAACACACCCAAAAAAATGATAGAGAATATATCAGATTTTAAAAACATATACTATATATGTAATTTCTTCATGATATAATATATTTATTTACTCTTTCACGCAACTGGTTGTTTTTTATTTCTTTTTACAATATTGTTGTGGGGTTACACGACACAATGGAAATACTTATTAGAAAATGCCTATGAAGAGAGTGAAAGATACTGAGTGAATAGAAAAGTAACTGGAAACCTAACCATTTTTTACTAATGGATCTTGCAATCCAAAAACTTGAAATTAATAAATTTGATTTGACAAAAGAGCTGCTAAGGAAATTAACCCAAAAAATTTGTACAAATCCATTGCTTTGCTGGAAGTTAAAAATTAATCTTACAAGAAAAATTTTCGCTTTAGTTGAACTACTTAGCGTTATAAGGGCCAAATGCACTGAAATTGAGTCTTACTAGAAGTTTTCATTCTTCAAGCAGTTCATCTGTCAAATTAATCGACAGAACATTGTAAGGACTTTTCTTGAACTGCAAATAAATTCAACAGAACGATTGTACTCATGTAATCTGTCATGAAAAGTAAAATAGTACAACTGCAAATAACAAACTTTACCAGGGCCCAGGGGAATATTTTGGGAGCAATTTTGGAGGTGATTGTGTGTGGGACAGACTCCAACATTATATACTACCAGTTCCATCATTTGGAGAAACGAAAATCATTTTGTACACATTCAGTAGACAATTCTGACACATAAGAACATGCATAACCATGCTGGGGTAAATAAAAACATCTAAAAAAGGAAAACTGAAACATTCTGTTTAAATGTTAAATATTTCAAAAGTAAATGAAATAATAATAATAAAAAAAAAAGATGAGGCAACTCCCATGTGATTTAAGAAACCCACATACATAGAATGCCTCTCGTGTTTCGTATCAGACGACATAGGAAAACCAAAATATGGCCATTGCTGACATCTATTTTAAGCATGAATTGCATTTGGCCTTGTGTATTTTTAAGATAAAGAAACAAACATCATTTCATTTAATTGGAGAATATGAACATTATTATCCGTAGAGGGTATAAGATATGCATCGTCTGCAGATTTGACCGCATAAATAAATATTTAAATCCCAGGAGATGCATGACACTTTTCTGTAGCAAACAGAAAAGAACAGTGCTCCCCAACCACTAAAGGACAAAAAAGAGACTTGCTGTTATTTAGCCTGACCAACTATACAAATTGGGCCTTAAATCTAGTCAAAAACAACTAAACCTACCGATCTACCAACCTACCTATAGTATCGAAATCGATAACAGCCATTACTATAGTTTCGTGTTAAAAAAAGAGACTTACCATGATTTCCCCTCCAATAAGATTGGCAATTTGAAATATTAAATAATCGCCCGTAAGCTCGAAAGCAAAGTTCTTATGGTCAGATTTTGGGATCGCAAGGGCTACGCATAACATGTCCCACATTTCAAACTGTTCATTGAATCAGTAATCCGTACAGTTCAAAAGTTTATTCCACAAAAATGAAGAATTTTGACACATATGAGATATCAGACAGGAAAATACATACAAGCTTTCGTAGAAAACTTTTTGGAGTTTTGCTAGCAAACATCCATGTTTTTTTAGTTAGAATACGTTAACAATATAACTAACAATTATCTTACAATATACTAGATGTAATTTACTTACGTATTCAGATTAAAAACAAGAAAATGCACGTTAGTAAACCCATTAAAATATATACTCTTAATTTTTCTTTACAAATTACTAAACGTAGAAGAAAACTAAACATTTGCAGTTCTAATCTATGTTAGCCAAAATCGTATACTTTGATTTCCAAGTCCTACAGCTCCATGCCGCCCCGACAAGGAGCTGATCCAATTCTTTATGGATCAAATGTGAATATTTCTTGTTAGAATGTGGACCATTTTAACACGGACCAGATGTGGATATGCATTCTTCACCTTCTCTACATTGGGTTAGAAATGTAACAGAAATTCAAAAGCAATGTAACCTAACTTTGTGCAGAGGAATGTCTCACAGTAACAGGCACGCATTCGACAGAAGAGACATGGTCTTCGGATGATGTATTATGAGTCATAATTGATACAAAATCGTTCTCATCATTTTCCAACGAATTATCCATGTCACCACCAACAGGCCCGGCAATTTCAGCACGGACAGGACGAAGAAGACCCTGCAATCTTAACCGGTAACTTTGACTAGATGGTTGACCTCTCACGTATCTGGTTGTTGTCACAAGACTGACAGAAGATCGTTCAGGCTCAGCACGGAGATTGGACAGGGCACTAAGATCAAGGTTTGGGAATACTGAGCACCGGCACCGAGGACATTTCACATTCAACCTAAGCCACTCATCGATGCATTCAACATGAAAATTGTGAGCACAAGGGAGGCCTCGAACCTGCATTAAGGTACGGTTGAAATTGATTTCAGTTGTTCATTGCAATACACTTTGCATCTCAACTTTATTCAAAATGTAAGGATTCAAGAAGTCACGAGGTTACACAAGGAGAACATGTAGCACTAATAGATAGCAGGCAGCACAAGGTATGACCTTCTTGCCACCCTTAATTAGGGAAAAGTGTACCTCATTCCCTACATAGAACTCTTCTAAGCAGATGGGACATTCACTGCAATCAGTAGGAACAGCCTTTAACCTGAACTTTGGGAGTTCCTGAATTAAAGCTTCAACTGCTTCTCTCTGCACCCAACCCAGACAAGAAAAGCAATTATCAGTAGTGAAACTAACAATAAGTAAACCAAAAGAGTTTCGATAAGAGATAAATATACACATAATAATTACCCACACGTTGTCCATATATTCCATGAACTAACATGTGACAAACTGAGAGTTCTAATATGAAATCAATAAGTTTAGAAAAAATCAGTTGAAACTACCTGAGCTGGAGTTAGGTAAAGTCCTGGATGATATGCAGCAGCATCTTGTCCCATGCCCCTTGTTTCTTGACCAGCAGCTTCAAATGCCCAATCAGGCACTCGGACCATGTCAACCACAACCTAACAAAAGGAAAAGAGCAATTGTTACCATCTAATAATTGTAAATTATGGATAATCAAACAGAATTAAATATACAGTTAGACTGCTAAGAATATGATTACAGTTCACACTTCAATCAACCCAGTACATACAGATCTTTAAAGTAAGGCAGAAATAGAAGAATAAATATTGCTTCTAGAAAGAACCCATCAGCATGAGTAGGTCACTATTATTATTGTAATGCAGATGATAGAGTTTTGAATGATGAATCAAGGGAAGTGGTTACTTTAAACTTGAGCTTTGGAGACAAATTTGAAAATAGAAGATTTATAGTTAAGTCAGAGTAAGACAAAGTGTATGCACTGCAATTTTAGCTAGAGTCAAGAGGAATATAATTTGGAAGTGAAATTGGGATATGCTTCTAAAGTTTAAATATCTAGGATCAATACTCCAAAATGACAGGCAAAATCATGAGACTATTATGGATAGGATACAGGTGGTATTAGCTACCATGGAAAAAGGCAACGAGGGTTATTTGTGATTGTAAAATACCTATCAATCTCGAAGGAAAGTTTTTCTTGCATTGCTATACATCTGATTATAGTCTTAATATAGTAAATAATAGACTTTAAAAGGTAGCAAAAATGAATATATTAAGATGGATGTGTGGTCACACAAGAAAGAAAAAGAGACGAAATGATTGTATACGAGATTAAACTGGCATGGCACCGATTGATGAAAAGATTATAGAAATTTGGTTAACGTGGTTTGGATACTTCTAAAAATCACAGGAAGCACCGGTGAGAAGAGTAGTTTGCACGATTTCACTCCTGTGAAGATGAGAGAGAACGAGTACATTGAAGAAAGTTGTTAAGAGGGATTATCCTAGAAGTCTTGGCCTTTAACTGAGCCAAGTAGCACCATGTAATAGTGATATAAAGATTTTGTTTGGTAGGAAAAGGGAATCACACAGAAAATGTAGAGGATACTTAGTGTTTTTTCTATTCATGAAACCTACCAATACAAGTTTTTTGGGAGGGTAAAAGAAAATAAAAAAAATCTAAAAAGTGGAGGAGAATAATACAACCACATGCAATTTTGTTACCATAAACTAAACAGTAAAAAAAGCACAATTCAATTTATAATCTGGAAAATGTGCACAATCCAATACGTAAATGCTAGATTAGTGTAACTTCATAAAATGAAATTATGACATGGTTCACAAAATCAAAAAATACTAAAATTAGAACAAAGCAATATGGACTCTTATACTCAAGGGAATTTATTAGAAAAGGAAAAGATTGCACCAGACAATGAGCTAGTTTCACTAGTATGTCAGATTACATGGTATTCCAAACTTAACAAATAAGTGACTGTGCCAACCACAAATTCAGGAGAAAATTTTAACATAGTCCCTTTACTCCCTTCCCTGGCAGAAAGGAAAAACACATGGAAAATTTTTCCCAGGTTATTTAGAAATTTGTTTAGAAACACTGATATTTGATGCCAAACAACAGTATCCACAACAAACATATATGCTGAGTAAAGGTAAAAACCATACCCCATATTCAGATACAGGGATACCCTGTTGAGCACGCAATAGATGTGCTTGTCTTCGTGTCAACCACTGCAAAGAGTTAAGCAAACCACAATAAGAACAGTGACCAACCTAAATACGAAACAATGACGGAGAATAATATTTTTCAGACATCTCTGATGATGGGTTGTTCATAAGAGTAACAGTATAACAAGCAGAACAAAAACAATTTTGCACACAAAAAACGATCAAAGAAAACATGAGTAGATTAGAAATAGAACACCAGTACCTTCCCCAGAGACATGCAAGCAATGCAAAGGAGTCCACAGTAGCTAAAAAGTAGCCAAATGAGAAAGCCCCATTTTTGACCATTTTCAGGCAACTGCAGGTAATTGTTTGCATTATGTATCATAAGCTTGTTAACAAGAGCACACTGAACATTAAACAAGAATAAAACATACACAGCTCTTTGCACTGCTGAACCACAGGGTACCAATTACAGTCCAAGCCCACAGAAATGGATAGAGAAGCAACACAAGGATTGAAAGGACAACTACTCTTCCACAGAAACGAGCATATCTCTGCTGCCACCCAAAATCTCTAGAAACATACAAGGGGGGCCATAATTGAATTAGTTCCAGTATATAATGAATTTCAACATCATTTGACTTCATTTGTTAGATACAACACATTTAGTTGAGTTTCAGAATATTATGAAATCAAATTCAGTCACCAAAGAAAATGATCATAAATGATTTTGCATTTGATAATATTATATTGCAAGGTTTTTTATTTTATTTTTGGCATGTGAACTTGGGAATGTAATATTCTCATGTTTGTTATGAGTTTTAAAAATGTATTCCCAAGTATTGTTCATGCCTGGGAAGGTAACATGATTTGGTGTCGGACACATGTCAAACAGTTAGCTACACCCTCAACAAGCAGTGTTTAATGCTATATGGTCATGAGCACACTGATTTCATGGAGAACTGTACATTGATTTCATCAACAACATCCACATGCTATAAGTTGGCAATCAACATGTGTGCAAGGATTTTTTAGTTATGAGGTGCTAACAATACCCTTTCCAATGCATTATTTATTATTAACAAAAATTTACTAGAAATTACAAAATTTTGGATGAAATTCATTAACTAGGGAGTGAACCAACATATTTCACGAGTTTTAATAAATTTTAACCAATAAAAGTGTATTCGATAGTTTGATGCTAGCATTTCTCCTTAGTTACAAAATGCATGTTATTGCACACTTAGATATGGCTAAGCCTCAATTAGATAGACTAAAAGAAACATGTAAGAGTGGTGAAATACAAAAATCATATCCATCATACTCTAATTCTAAAAAGTATATTAGTGCAATCAACCAATGTAAATGGTGAAATACAAAATGCATGTTATTGCATACTTAGATATGGCTAACCTTCAATTAGATAGACTAAAAGAAACATGTAAGAGTGGTGATATACAAAAATCATATCCATCATACTCTAATTCTAAAAAGTATATTAGTGCAATCAACCAATGTAAATGGTGAAATACAAAATGCATGTTATTGCATACTTAGATATGGCTAACCTTCAATTAGATAGACTAAAAGAAACATGTAAGAGTGGTGAAATACAAAATCATATCCATCATACTCTAATTTTAAAAAGTATATTAGTGCATTCAACCAATGTATACATTTGTACTAAATAGTAAAAAATGGCATCAATGTTTATGGATGGAAGGCCTTACAAACCCATTCCCGCAGCAAGCCCGTTATCAACAAACATCAAGAGACGGAAAACAAACACAGTAGTGTAGTCGACCTGAACACCAATGAAAGAAAGGAAAGAGTTCATTTATGAACAACCTTATCATATGAAAAAAATAGAAACATAGGGATCTTAAAAGGAAACCTCACCACAATCCATATATGCAATGGATAGGTACAAGAATGATACCGCTTCCAATTAATAGCGACAATAACTCTACAAGTAGAGAGGTTAAAGAATACATGCACAGACATTTGATTCAGTTTTGTACCGGAATGCTTAAATTGAGTAGCATAAATTTCGGTTTAATTTTAATATTTCTCACAACACTGATTCAGATTAAGTTAGAAAGAATGAGGAGGCAAGTGAAAATGTAGAACAGCAGCTAAATTAGGTAAATCCAGCAACTGAATAGTGAAAGGATACACACTAGTGGCGAGCATGGACAAAAAAAAGCCATCGTACCTGCAAGGAACGAGTTACATTCAATGAGAATTAGGATAAAACACAAGCGATCCTGAAATTAAACCCTACAATTGTGAGAGAACCAACCACTTGAAATCCACGCCTCTGATAGCCATGGGAATTGATAAAGAGAAACCCTAGAAGAAAGAAAGTGTGGTACTGAAGAATCGTGCTTAAGCAGCGTTAAAATACATGAATCGGAGGAGAGTGGGAATCGGAATTAGAATGAAATGCATAAGAAGATGAAGTTAGGAAAATGGGGGAAAAGAAGGCAGTGAAATGGAGTTTTGGAAAGGAGAAGAACACAGTAAAAAGGAAAAAAAAGAAGAAAAAAAGAGGTGTGTGTGGTTCTGTGAGAAGATGAACTAACAAAACAAAATCCAAAACACACGCACCGCACCGCCAACGGCAAGTTGACCTGTGCTATTCTTTTGTTTGTGTGAGCGCGTGTTGCACACTGCACTTCAAAGCATTTACTTAACGAGGTATCACTGTTTGTGTGAGAGACCTTTACTTTGCTTAATTGTAATGATTTACTTAGTTTACTTCTCTTCACTTTCCGTAACTATCAACTGTCTTAATTGCATGTTTCACCCCAAGAGTTAATTTATTATTTATGTGATAGAGAGAGTCTTTTTAAATTTCAGTAATATTGTTTAAAAAATAGAAATAAATAAATATTCCATAGAGAATATTTGACAGAAAAATTTTCAACTGTAATAAACCATCTCTCAAATTTTTATTTTGTAATTATTTTTTAATAATTCAAAAAATTAATTAATTAATTATTTATTTATTTTATTGTTATTATCATTTATGTTTGAAATTCAAAAAAAATTCTATTTAAATATTCATATCAAAATTTTAAAAATTATTAAATATTTATTTTTTTATAAAAAATTTGATATTGTATATAAAATTTGATATTTACTTATAAATATGAATTTAATTTTTTTATTGTGATTGGGACCTTCATGAATTTGGAATTAAAGATAATATGTTGATAACTGGATTAATTAATATATACATATGACTAATCATCGTGTTAAAACATTATTATTTGAAAAAAAAATTATAAACACTTTTAATTTTAACTTTTTTTTAATAATAGCATGATAAATATAACTCTATGTATTATTTACTTTTCTATAAGCACGAAGAAACATTATTTAAAAGAGGATTATTATGGAAAAAACAAGAAAGTTAAACTTTGTTGTTTTTTTCCAAATTTTACTTAAAAAAACAAATTAGTCTCATACCTTTCCTTTTATTTGTGTCAGAATTAGGAATTATTCACTAAAAAACAAAAAAGTGTTTCATTAATCAATATTAACGTGTTCACAGATAATTACATTAAATCATTTATTATTAGAGTTTTTTAATAAAATGTATTTCTTTATTAATTAATCAACTAACTTTATAATGAATAAGAATTTAGCATATAAGTTTGTAAAAGAAGGAAAGAAAAACAAACACATAAGATCGCAACTGTTTATACAACATAATCAACTAATTATTGAGTTTGAGTTATTTCTAATATCCCCTCTCAAGATGGGTTATAGATATTCAGAAAACTCATCTTGGACATGTTAGCAGTGAAAGGTCCAGGAAACAAAACTTTGGTGAACATATAAGCAAGTTGGCGTTAAGAGGGAATATGAGATAAAAGAATCAGCCCATCGAGAATTTTACTATGTATGAAGTGACAATCCACTTCTATATGTTTGGTTCCCTCATGAAAGGAAGAATTTTTGGCAAGTTGGATGGCAGATTGGTTATCATAGAAGGTGCAGACAAGGAGAGGAATGGTGAGTCGAAGATCATCAATAACATACTTCAACCATTGTAATTCACAAGTCACAGTGGCTAATGCTTGATATTCTGATTCTGTTGAATTGTGGGACACAATGTTCTATTTTTTTTACTTCCAAGAAATGAGAGAATTGTCATAAAAGTTGCAATAACCAGTTATGGACATTCGAGTGGTATGACATGTAACCCAATCAGAGTAGGCTTGTAGCCTATTTGGGTTCTGAATAGGATAGAAAAAGCCTTGTCCAGAAGCAGTTTTTAAGCATCTAAGGATTCAAAAAGTTGCCTGCATGTGAGGGGTTCTGGGTTGAGTCGTAAACTGACTTATTTGTTGGACAACAAAACTAATGTTTGGACAGATATGTGTAAGTACATTAGCTTGCCAATGACTCTTCTAAAATTGGTGGGATCAAGGATGAGTTCACCCTCATTATCAACGAGTTTAACTGAAGGGGTGGCTGGAGAATTCAGTGGCTTGCACCCAGTAAGTCCAAATTTCAAAAGAATATCCACACAATATTTGTGTTGATTAAGGATTAAGCTTCAAAGCCCAAAAAAATACTTCAAATCACTAAGATCTTTGATATGGAATTACGTGTAAAGATATGTTTTGATACCAGTGATCATGCTAAGGTGATTTCCAGTAATAACTATGTCATCAACATAGACTAGGAGGGTTGTGAAAGAACTAGTTGTGTGCTTGACAAATAAAGAGTAATCTGTTGTACTCTGAACAAAACCAAAGTTGAGTAGAGCAGATGTGAGTTTGGCATTGCATTGCCTACTTGCTTGTCTTAACCCATATAGAGATTTGTGGAGTTTGCACACGAGTTTAGGAGAAGCAAGAGGTAGTCCTTGTGGGGGTTTCATGTAGACTTCTTTAACAAGATCACCATGTAAGAATGCATTGTCGACATCTAGTTGATGGAGAAACCAGCCAGAGGAAACAGCAAGGGAGAACAGAAATTGAACAGTAGTAATCTTAACTATGGGAGAAATTGTTTCAAAAAAATCTACCCCCTCTGTTTGTGTGAAGTCCTTAGCAACCAATCTGGCCTTATATATTTCAATGGAACCATCTGCTTTAAATTTGGTTCGGTAAACCCATTTACAACCGACAACTTTCTTGCCTAGAGAAAGATTAACCAGGTGACCATGTTTTGTTTCTCTCTAGAGTTTGAAGTTCAGTCATCGTAGCTTTTCGTCAGCAGTCTAATTGGGTTGCCTCCTTGAAGGTGGTAGGATCAATAATACCAGAGAGAGACAAATAAAAAATAGTGTGTGGAGAAGAACAATTAGCATATGAAAGATAAGAATGTAGGGGATAAGGAGTGTTACAAGTGGCATTCGAAGATGCAATAGTAGGACAATGGTAATTAGCCAAATATAAAGATGACCTCTTTGTTCGTGTTAAAACTTTTGGGACAAATTCAGTGATATGTGGGGATTCATGGGAAGAGAGTCAACTTTAGGTAAAGATGTATCATGATTATGCATGTTATTTTCATGAGAAGAATGCATTGTGGAATGATGTAATGGTATGAGGTCATAAAAAAAAAATTGGTGCAGGCATTATCAGAGGGTGTGATGGGTGAATGTTCTTTATATGGAAAATGAAATTCATAGAAAATGACATTGCGTGATATAGAAAAAGGACTTGTTGATAATGTCATACAAAACATAACCTTTTGTTTTGAAACCAAGAAAAATGGTTTTGGAGGCACTTTTATCAAATGTTGTTCTTCCAATAGTAATAGTAGAAACAAAGGCAAGACAACCAAAAACTCTAATGTTTGTTAAATCTGGAACATGATCATGCACAAGTTCATAAGAGGATTTGTGTAACACCCTACCTTATAAACCCTCAATTAGAAAAATTAATAATTTTTAGCAGAATTTTTTTTTAAAACCAATAATAATTTTTTCCTCGTACATAATATTAATATATAAATTTTCAATAACTCATTCCTACATTTCATCATTTTAAAAAGTACTAAAAGTAAACATTCATAATTACATAGATAAAATACTAGTACAGTCCTTCAAAATATTAAGGACAACATCGGGGATACTTCCTACAGAGCAGCTAACTACACAAAAGAGTGACTACTACCCAGTATTATGTAGGTCTATATACTACAAAAGTCTGTCTATAAAAGTTTGTATATGTTTATCCTAATACATGTTGCCATCATTGTGGCTCCCAGCTAATGAGTATGAGTGTCATATTCATCGGGTGTGGAATCTGTGTCATCTCTCCTCTCTTTAAACAATGACCGATCAGGTCCAACGAGTACCGCAAGTACAAAGGAAATAAAGAAAATAGAAAGACAAAAGGGTGAGCAACAGTCCATACATCATCTTAAAATCAAACATCATAAACATTCACAAGTCAATCAAATTCCAAATTATTGATGTTAATGATGCATGATTCTAATATGTTTTTCTAAAATGTTTATGCATGCAGACCCGAATCATTTCTCAAATCAGTACTGGGGTAGCCAGGAGTTGACACTACTAGGCATGGAAAATCCACCAACGGGATTGTTGAGACTCATCCTCAAATATAAACCCAGTAACTCACTGACCATTGATATATGGTAAGAGCACAGTCAAGTATACGAGAGTTTGTACAGTGGGATCCCCGACAACAGGTAGCGAGTCTGGATCTTTTGGGGCCTCTAACCACTATCCTTCCTATCCTCAAGTCCTCCCTCAAAGCCTCCCTATCGTATTCTCAGAGTCCATAATCTCTGATTCCCCAGATTTCACAAATCACCATTTTCAGATGAGTAATGTATGAATCCCTAAGTGGTTTTTCTTATAAATTCACATTTTTCCCAAAAATTTCCAATCACCTGTTACAAACAGAAAACTTTCAATACAGTTCAAAAAGAATTCACAACCCATCATCCAATTTTTTTCAATTTAATTTTCAATGAACTTTCTCATGAAAAACCACCATGCATATAAATGTTCACTCATAGACAATACATATCATAATAGAGTATCAAACATGTATTTTACACCATCATACACGTAAACAATTCATTATCACTTTCACAACCAAGCATATAATGAAATCAAAATTATCAATCATAACAAATTTAGACAAATTCAACAAATAAGGTCAAACAAGTTTATGATGTAATCCTTACTATATAGCACACCTTTACATGATACATTCACACTTATTCATTTCAAAGCTTGATGTTGTGCTTCAGCAAAATCTATATACGTAATAAAATATTAGTTAGAATTTTATATTTCTATGTTTCTATCTCATGAGAATTTAAATTCACTTTGTGTTGTTTATCCATTTCTAATAATATTTTAAGCTTACATTCAACTTACAATTATTTTAGAAAATTATCCTGTTTTGTATGCACTTAGAGTAGGAAAAATCCCAATAGCAAACATGGACAAGGTTCAGTATTTTGAAATTTTCTAGAGTTATATAAGCTGTTTTGGCATGAGATTTGAGCCAAAATTTTTCAATAGCTTAAAGATGAAGGAAATAAATTCAAATACCCTATAGAATAGATGCAATTTTCAGTTTTCAGTAATTGTTTCCAACTAGGCTCAATTACAATAACACTCTGAACATGCTTTGGTAATTGGATTATAACTCATGCTAGACATAAGCTATTAACATGAAACAAATTTCTAAATTTCGGGAATATAATTTCCTATAACTTTTATGAAGGAATCAAGTCCTAATTTCATACATATAAATCCCAGTAATTCAAAAACCGAGGCTGTTGAAACAGGGCTACCTCTTAACGTCACAACTAGAACACTTGACAGTAAAATGGGCATAACTTGAGCTACAAATATCCGTTTAATGTGAAACCAGTTTCTAAATTTCGACAACTTAAAGAGATACAATTTTTATCAATATACTAATTTCTAATTCTGTTCACACAAGTCTCAGAAATTCAATGAGAAATTTAATGAATAGTACCTACAAATTAGTGTTCTTAAAGTTTTTAGCTTAACCACTTCTAATCCTCAATTTTAAGCATTATTCTAATATCCTAGGTGTAAAACCTACAATAACACTCTTCCTACACCCATTTAAGCAGCCAAATGAGGAGAAAAATAGAAAATGCACCGTTTTGAAAAATAAAACTATAGAAATATAGAGGAGATTGAGATAAACAAACTTACCTCTTGGAGCTCCTCAAGAAAATCAAGATTTCCCCCTCAAAATCAAGCTTGAAGGTAAGGAAAGTTTTGAGAGAAAGAGAGATTTCAAACCACAATCCGCTCAGCGTATTCCCGTGTGCTCAACGGATCAGAGTACGAAAAATTTATGCTTTATTTTTTTTTCTTTTTACTCTAGTCAGTATTTGAACCCACAACCCCTAAGACTCAAATATTACTCCAAATCATATCAGTCATCATATATTTCTTGTCAACTCACACACATAGTACAATTTTAATGTACTCACACTCAATGCATACAAGAAAACAATAATTTCTGAATGTGACAATTAAAATTTGTTAAGTCCCTAAGCATGCTCAACGTTCAGTGCACACACATGAGTATTTTCTAATAATTATAAAATAATAGAAAAATTATAATTGTTCTAATGCACATACAAGACTCAAATATTACTCCAAATCATATCAGTCATCATATATTTCTTGTCAACTCACACACATAGTACAATTTTAATGTACTCACACTCAATGCATACAAGAAAACAATAATTTCTAAATGTGACAATTAAAATTTGTTAAGTCTCTAAGCATGCTCAACGTTCGTGTACACACATGAGTATTTTCTAATAATTATAAAATAATAGAAAAATTATAATTGTTCTAATGCACATACAAGAATCGAACTCATGACACTCCAATTTTATGACAATGGTCTAACCAAATGATTCACTCCTCATCTCTACAATATTATTAAATTATTAAATTATTAATTTAATTACTTCTCTTATTTTTAATTTCTACCTTAAATCATATAATTACTATCTCGGCGCCGATTGCTCGCAAAAACAGATCAATTTTGAGTATTTTCTAAAAATTCTAAAAAAAATTTTCAAAAAATCACAAATAACCTAACAAACATAAAACTCTATAGTTACTTTACCCAATTCCTAATAATTTAATTATTAAAATTTTGACAAATATTTTGTCAAAATTTAACAAATCAGAGGTACTGAGAATTAAGATGTTACAATTTGAGCTTTAAAAGAGGTGTGGGTAACCTGTTTATGATATGTGTGACATGTTTTACAACAAAAGACCAAAAGCAAATTGGTATATTAGCTTGAAAGAGTAAGGCTCGACTCACATTTAATAAATGTTGATGTTTTCTCTTAACTATGCTATTTTGTTGAGGATTACCGAAGCCTTTTAAGTTTTAAATCAAATTTATTTTCAATAAGTTGAATGAAAGAAGGAAGAACGATTTTGACATCAGGTTTAGTTTTTAAAAGATGAACCCAAGTGAATAGAGAGAAATGATCTATCACAGTTAGAAAATACTTGAAATTATTAATTGAGGGAGAGGCAATAGGACCTCAAATATCTACATGAATAAGATCAAAGAATGTAGTGCTTTTATTATTTTGGTAGGAAATGGCAAACATTTCTGCTTTGCAAAATGACATATATTACAAGGTGTTAAACAACCAACGACAATGTCAGTGTATTTAAAAGCTAAAAATTGCAACACTTTATTTGAAGTATGTCCTAATCTAATGTGCCATAACAAAGACATGTTGTCTGTGACAGAATGTTATGTGTTAGTGACATTAAGAAAGTGTGATCCATATGAATTTGAGTCACTGGAATCTTGAAGAAAAAAGAGGTCATTCAATTTCTTAGTTGTACCAATCATCTGATGTATTGATTTTTGCATAATGAAACAAGTTTCATCATAAAACATAACCATACAATCAATTGTAGAAACTAATTTGGGAATGAATATAAGGTTAGTAACAAGATCTGGTACGTATAAGGCATCAACAAGAGTTAATTTTTCAAGGGTAATATTGCCAGAAAATTTTGTAATCACAGTAGTATTATTGGACAGTTTTATCTGAACAGGTGTTATGGATTCTAAGGAAGAAAAACAAGATTGTGATGGACAAATGTGATCTGTCGCACCACTATCCAAAATCTAAGAGGAAAAAGAAGAAATATCACCTGCAGTATTAACAGAGGAACTATGAGTGTGATTGATAGAAGACGCCTCAAGCTTAGATTGCTAAAAAAGAGCTAAAATGGTCTGATATTGTTCTTTTGAGAAGCTGAATTGGTCACATGGAGAAAGAGAAAGAGGCATGACCAGATTTTCTATATCTAGCAGGGAAACCAATTTTCCAGTAATAGGTTTCAATTATGTGATTTGTTTTCTTGCAATTTTCACAATATTTTGTATTCCGATTGGTAGATTTTCCTGGATTGGTGGTCTTGGTGGCTCTAGTTGAATTCTTGAAATTGAGGTTTTTGGAAGAATCATCTGATTGCGCAGAGAAGGCAACTGAGTCTTGAGGAAGAAGATTGAAAACAATACCAACAAATTTTCTTTCATGTTGTAAAACCATAGAAAAAGTCTTCAGAATCGAATGCATGAGATCCATGATCATTATCTAATATCGTACTTAGTAGTCATTGTTTAAACCATGAAGAAACTGAATGACACAATCATCTTCGTTTTCTTTTTAGAGCTTTGCAAAAAGACCACAAGAACAAAATACAGGGCATTTACAAAGAAGAACACACCAATAAAGTTCAATTTCTTTCCACAAAATTTTTAATCTTGTGTAATAATCGAAATGGATGAATCACCTTGTTTGTAATTCTGGATTTGATCTTGAAGATAGGTAATACGAGATTTGTCGGAATGTGAGAATCTTTCTTCCAAATCTTTTCATATGTCTGAAGTGTTGTCCAGCCACATCACGGATTGTTTGATGAAGGTGTTCATGTAAGGTGTCAACCAAGTCGTCACTATGTGATTGCATCTGCGTCAGGTGTCATGAAAGGATCTGTGATTGGTGGACATGGAAGATTGTTGGTGATGAACTACTCTTTGTTTTTGGTTTCTAGGGCAACCATCATCTCTCGCTGCCATTGATGAAAGTTATTTTCAGTTAACAGAGGAGAGACGAGAATGAGCGCCAGATTCTCACCAGGATGAAGATTAAGAGGATTGGTTGGATTAATGAGGTGATCCGGTGTTGGGTTGTTTTGGTTGGGTTTAGCCATGATCGATTAATGAAAAACGAAGAAAAAAGGATATGCGAAAGAGAAGAAGGGTTTTAGCAATCTAATACCATATTAGAGTTTCAGAACAAAATACATATGAATAAAAACTTAACATATATAGGTTAAGTTTATAAAGGAAGGAAAGAAAAAACAAACGCATAATAGCACAACTATTTATTCAACATAATCAGTTAACCATTCAGTTATCTTTATTAAAATAATTGGTTTACATTTCTATATATTTTTTATTTTAAATAGTTTTTAAAAATAGAGTTAAGAAACACTATTTTTGAAAATTGATTTTTAAAATTCTTTTTGTGAATTAAGGAAAAAACTAAATCAAAAGATGATCCATTCTCTCATTTTAACTCTTCTTATTCTTAAAGAGTATATTGCCAAATAAAAGCAAATATAAGTTGTGGTTAGAGAAAGAAGCACACTTGTGAGTAAGAGTTTTATCCTTGATTTTTTTTTTTTTTTACTTATTATATATATATATATATATATATATATATATATATATATATATATATATATATATATCATATTTTGAAGGGTTTGGTATTTTGAAGGTTTTTTGTTTCCTGAATAAATCATATTCACCCAATTCATATTAACTACATTCTAATCTAATTAGCCCCCGGTTTAATGGTTGAATGTTCTTTGCAGTCTTTACCTCTGGGCTCTTCAACTTGGAATATTTTGAATACAAAGAGATACCCCAAAGTCCAAATCATCTCTTATAAAACTCACAAGTTAATCTTTAGGCTCTCATTACATTTATGAATTACTCAAACGCATCTAATAATCTTTAGATTGTATTAAAAATAATAAGTTTACTATTTCAATCAAACATCAGAACAACTTGAACTACTGATAAATATCCACATTCCTCTTATACCTTGACAGAAAGAAAACAATTAGTTACAATTTGGTGGGTTCTTGGAACATTTATATACAGCAGATGCAGGTTGCTTATATGCAGGAATGTCACTGGGATCAACAAAGCGGACTTCACCGGGTGTGAAAGACAGATCCCTGTGCCTGAAATTCAACAAAAATAAAAGTGATATGTAGAATTAACTAACCAAAAACAAAAGCTTAAAACTGGAGGGCATTATAGCTTAAGCTTGGAACCATGCAGTTACCTTCGTAGGTCTAGTCCTATCAAACCAGCCTGAAGAATTGTCAAGTTGTCAGAATCAGGCGAGACTATAATAACCGTGTCACCAGAATACTGGGTTTCGAGAATCGACATAAGTTGTGTCACACGAACAAAAACATCCGCAACACTCTCATTCGGAGTTCCATCTTCAATGGGAGGAGGCTTGATGTTTGGAGATATGCCATCTGACGCATACACCTGCAGCATTTTAATATCTTATTTTATCATTTCATAATAATATGTTACCTCGTCTCTGTTGGTGTGTTACGAACTTAGAGCACATGAACATTAAACTAAAAAAAATATAATGTTATTTAAAGAAAAGATTAGATGGATAAATCCTACTTCTGAAACAGATTCCAGTTTTTTTCCTTCATAGGCACCTAATCCACGGGCATCAAGAAAGCTGTATTCTGGGACTAGATAGCTGAAATCAGAGAAATTTGTGACAATGGTGAGGTTTTGGGAATTGGAGTGCATGGAGAGTCGAATGAAATAGAGAAAAAACAAACAAACAAACCTACGGGTAACTCCATTAACAGAAGCAATAATCTCTGCAGTCTGGTAAGCTCTTTGAGTTATGGCAGACCAGATCCAACATCCTTTATCACATGCTCCCATTTCTTTCAAATCAAAAGCTGCTTTTATAGCCTGTTTTTTCCCTCTTTCAGATAACCCATTATCCACTGAAGTCTTCTCCACGGGGTTGGTGTTGATAACTCCCATGCTCTCGAACTCAGACTCACCAGCTCTCACCAGAAAATACCTTCCCACACCACCACCAACAAGGTAAGATAATATTATTACTTATTATTATTCACTACAAATGAACACTTATTATATGAAAATAGTTTCGGGATTACCGGTTGGTGAGGCGTGGTGGGGGCATTTGAAAGAGGCCGCTGGCACCGGCTACCGGCTCTGTTAAGAACAGAGAGGTTGTGAAAGAGAGATTGAAATTGAAGGAGATGGTGAATGCAGTGGTGCTGAGGAGGTGGCGGCGCCGGAGGAGGATGTTAACGGGTTCCGGAGGAGGAGACGGCGGTTGTGGCAGGGAAAGAGAAAGGGCTTTGCGCGAGTGATTTGGTGCCAACATTATCTTCCTTCGTATTAATGTAATGGCAGAGGTTTACAACCTTATCCATATCTGCACTCGTGGAAACACGAAATACCATTTTTAGTGGAGAAAAAATAACCATACCATTTTTGTTCACATTTTTAATCTGAACATCATATTCTTAATATTATTGTCATTGTTCTATTATTGTTTGATAAAAAAAATAATGTATTTCAATTTTTAATACTGTATAAATGATTTTGGTTTAAATTTAAAGTATTATACAATACAGAAACATTTGCTAGTTTAGATTAGTTTTATAATAAAAACAGTCAAAATCATACGTTTGATATTATGTGAGTGTGGTTTATGCCATAATTTTTTAAGTTTGTTTTCATAAATTTTACTGTAGTAATTATTAGATAATCACCTTTGAGCTTTCTTTTTCATTTTTATTTATAAATTTCTTAATTTTAATAAGAATTATTTCTATGATGTATTATAAGAAATAAATAAAAATTTGATTTAAGTGTATGATATTAAATGCATTATGATACTTTGATGGTTTTAAGTAACAACCCAAAATTATATGTAAGAAAAATACAAATTGTTTTATAAAATTATATAAATAACTCTTATACATAAGATATCAATGTCTCAGATCAACACGAAATACAACATGGGAGATATAACTCAATTCAAAACATTTTCTATAATTTTCACCTAAAACAAAATACATTTTTCTAACCTAACTCAGATTTCAAACCAATTCATTCATGTACTGATAATTCATTAAACAAATATTAAAATCAAATTTAACACAATTAAAACAAATAAAACAACTTTCACAATTTACCATTCATGTTCAACTTATAGTATTATAGAAATTCAACAGAAATTATTTTTTCTTATTTTTCAATTTTATTCCTTTAATAAAAAAATGTAAAATATTTAACAAAATTACAGAAAGTTAAATCTTTATAAAACCTTTTCAATAAAATAAGCATAACATTGTATTTTTAAAGTAGTCAATATTTTTGGCTCAATAATTTACAATACAACAATAGTGAGTGACGTGCACAACTCTGGCCCTACAAGCAAAAATGCATTGAACAATATTGTTTTGCCTTATTCCAAGGGACTGGGATGTGCTTATATATATATATATATATATATATATATATATATATATATATATATGAAAATACAAAGAGAACATAGGGGAAAATTATAAACGAAGTTTAAATATTTAAGTTTTTATTTACTATTTTTCAACTTAATCAATAAAATACCACACTTTAGCTCATTAATTTATTTCTACCCTTATATTTAAATAAATTTGATAACTCAAACCAAAATATCTAAATTACTTATAATTAGCTTATCTTTCTATTAAAAAAAATATATCTCACATGATAAAGACAAATTTGAAACAACTTCTCTATTTTTATTCTTGGAATTACATTAATGAGCATATGAACAAGCCTTGCAGTCTTTGACAATAATACTATGAAATCCAATAAGTTAAGAGTTTAGGGTCTGACAAAGGAGGAGGTGGATGGATCACAAAAAATGTCCTTTGCAAACAAAGATCTAATAATTGCCGCCACAGAGCTTCTGCAATAGATTCTACATGGTTTATAGCTGCTACCAAACAATCACTGAACAATACAATTTTTAATATTTTTTATTAATTTTTTAAAATCTATTTTTTTTATTTACGAAAAATTGATTTCATTTTATATTTTAAAAAAGTGACAGGTTAATTGTTCTGTCAGATTTATTTTATTTTTTAACCTACTTAATTGTCGACCACGTATTACACGTGTGAGGGTTGCATATGTCTGGTGTTAGTAGATATTTCGTGCGAAGCTTGAACAAAGTCAATGCCCATGCCGTTTTTTCTCCTCTAATGTTTCATTGTTCTTTAGTTGACCGTTAAATGACATCTGAACTCAATTATTTCCGCGCTCCTTTGTGCTTATGCATTACATAGCATATAATACAAAAATTACAACAATAAATAATAGGATTAGTGCGTGTTTTTTCATGCGCAGCTCAGAAGCTCCTACTCGTCACCAAACAAATTCTGCCTTTTAAACATCGACAAAGACCACTCCAACATGTTTCTGTTTTCAGTTCTTAACTTTCATTCATTCTCTCAAAGGATATTTATTTTTAAAAAATTATAAATCAAGGTTGTTTCTTTTAGCCATATTCATCTAAAATAATAATATTATTATTAACGTAACTGGATTTTTAAAATTTTATTTTAAATTTTGCTTCGATTAATCGTTGTTAAAGTTTTATTATAAATGTTTCACAATTAACTTTTTAACAAATTTTTTAAAGTTTTGAATCATATTTTCTAAAAACGTATTTTAGATTCAACGATCTAAAAATAAGTTATTAAATAGTTTATTCAAAATCTATTTTTGAATTGTATTTTTTTAAAATATATTTGTTGAAATATATTTAAATACATCTTAAACATTAAAATAAAACTAGAAAAAACAAAAAATGCAACGGTATAAAGTGAATTAGTTATTCTTAGTATTTGTTGAAAACCGTCGAGACCAATGGGAAGTACGTTTCATGACATGTAGCGGTTAAAGGCGGCTAGTAATGACATAAAAATTGATGTCTTTTTTTGTCAGAGAAAAGGTTCTGTCCAAGCAGCTTTTCATTTCTCATATTCCAGCTTTGGATTAGTGGGCAAATATTTTGACAAAGCCTCTCTCTCCAGCCAGATTTAACTTGCTTAAAGGCAAACTCAATGTGCAGTGTTTCTCTCACAACCCTTCACCTTGAGTTTGAGGGGATATTATAATAGAATATGAAAAATATTCTCTTTTTTTATTTTCTCTATGTTATAACAGACCTATATTCTTTTAGGTTGTTTTGACCAGCTGTAATAATTTGTTAGTTGGTTATCAGTTTTGGCTAGCTGGTGTAGCTACTATAAATACTCCTTTTTGTACATCTTTTTTATTAAGTTGAATAAAATGAAAATCTCTATCATCATTATCTAGGACACATTAAATAAAGTAAACAATTATAGGTTATTTGAATTGAAGGTATATTTAAGTCAGTGAAAAAATAAACTATTTATTAAAATAATTAATTTTATAAAAATTTTATAAAAATAAATATAAACTATTTTATAAAAAATAATTAATTTTAAAAAATGAAATTAAAAAAATTTATTAATTAAAAACCATGTATAAATATTTATTTTAAACACTAATTAAAAAATTATAATAAAAAATCAATTAAATTATTAAAAAAATTAATTTATACTTAAGTATAATTTTATAAAATTTTATAAAACCAGAGATAACTATAAATACATATTATTAACATTAACTTTTATTTATATATATATATATATTTACAGTTATGTCTATTACACATTAACTTTTTAATATAATCTATTACACATTTATATAATCGATTATTTATATAATCGATTATTTATACTTGATAATCGAGTATATAAATTTATGTATTCGATATTAGATTTTTTTAAAATTTATGATCAGATTTGTTTCTATCCAGATATTTTTCAAAATTTCACCATCCATATTTTATTTATAATGTAATTTAATTATAATTAAAATATCTATATATATAATAATTAATATAAATTTATATTAAAATGACAACTTTAATATAAATAAAAATAATATAAATAACTAAAAATAATATATAATAATAAAAATTATAATTTAATTCATATTTATTATATTGATTATATGAAAAAAAATTATAAAAGATAAAATATAAATAATTAATAAAAAATTGATAAAATTTCAAATGATAAAATAAATTTTATATAATCTTTCTTCACAAATCTTCTCTTTTTAAAATAAAATTATTAATATCTCATTTCAGTCGTTCATCTCCGTTGCACAAATCAATATCTATACAAAATTTATCTGCAGACCTCCGTCTCTTCATTTATTCGATTACAGTACTGTAGAAACAAAATACTGTTCGTAACAATTAATTTTCTATTTGATTTAAATTAAACAATTAATGTAATTTTTCTAATTTAAAAATAGTGTGTTAAATAATAATTATAACCATGATCAATTGACATGTGTTTCTCATAACTAGCATTACAGTTTTAGACACTACAATAATAACTTTGCTTCCTCTTTGTTTCTAATGGTCCAAACAGAACACTACAGATTCACATGTTGCATCAAATCAATCGACCTAAATGACTTGGGCAAGTTTAAACGTCAAACACAGATACACAATACAGCTACAATCATTAGTCCATATATTTTCAATAAGGATGTGTATATTTTTAACTTGTGCTTTTAAGTTTGAATTTTTATATCATTATTTATTCAATTTTTTTTAATAATTTTAAAATATTACTTTAAGATTGTTTATTGGATGGTTGAAAGTAAGTAAAAGAAAATCATAATTGTTTATTGGATGGTTGAAAGTTTAAATCTAACATTTTAATCAAACGAGTTATGATCTGTGTAAGTAAATGAAATCCGCCGCAAAAACAAAATTCAACGAACAAGCGCGTCATCGTGTTACACACATTTTGTCAACACCATAATTTGGAATAAACATCTTGTAATTATTTAGTTTCTTCAAGAGCTGGGAATTCATCAGCATTCAGTTTTCACGTCACTTTTCTTCAATTTATCAAGCTCCAATACAAACACATGACTGCTATATAACATACTAAAAATCAAATATTTTAAACACTCTAGACTTTATTTGGATATGTAATTTTACAAGAATTGAGAGGAAAAAAAAATATATATTTATATTTTTGTATTTGTGCTAATTTAAGAAAAAATATTGTGAGATTCAGTTATTCTATCGTTCACTCATTACGCGAGGAGAATTGCAAAAATGTCAATGTTTCTTACCCATATTACTCTCCAACATTTATTATCTCATTTCATAATTTTTACCCATATAAAATTATGTGTCAATCAAATATTTTTATTATGATTAAATTATATTATAAACAAAATATCTCGATCATAAAATTTTAAAAAGTACTTAATCAAATAAATACATTTTTATATAATGGATTGTATAATATAAATAATCGATTATGTTAGAAAAATATTATTATATTTAAATTAATGTTGATAATAAAGGTAGTTATAGTTATATATGATTTTATATTTTTTTATTATAATAAAATTAAAATATATTTAAATATAAATTTATTTTTTAATAATGTTATTGATTTTATTTTATTTATTATAAATTATTTTATAATAGTTTTAATTTTTTTAATTAGTAGTTAAAATAAAAAATTATACGTAATTTTTAATTAATAATTTGAAATATATTTTTAAAATTTTTTAAAAATAAATTGTTTTTTATTTATATTTATTAAATATTAAGTACAACTATTTTAATTATTTAATAAATTATTTTATTAATATATATTTTTATTATTTTAAATCAATCAAATCGATTATTTTTTTTTCTTTTTCTAGTCCATCCTTCGTCCAAACACAAAATTAAGCCTGTGTCTTGGTTAAGGAAATGAAAAGACGAATTTATGTGAATAGATGGATTAATTTGTATATAAATGAAAAGATGGAGGGGTGGAATTACAAAATAGTTTTTAACTTAAGATTTAAGAAAAAAACCAGTTAAAAATGATAAAATTTATCTTTGTTTAATTTGTTCTTTATAATCCATAATCAATTTTTTTTCTTTCATATAATCAATACAATAAAAATTAATATAAAAATTCCAAAAATCAAATTTATAATTATATATATATATATATATATATATATTGAATAATTTTTAAAACATGAGTAAAAATAATTGATAATATTTAATTATAAATCACATGAAAACAATTAAAACTATAATTAAATAATAATTTAAATTTTATTATTTTTATTTTAAGAGATATTTAATTTTTAAAAATATTAAAATATTTTTAATTTATATATAAAATATTATAATTTTTTAAATTTATATATAAAATATTATCAATTTTTTATCTATTTTATTGAATAATGATTTCATATTAAATTATATTTATTTTTAATAAAATTATATGAAAAATATTTTGATCTTTTACTAATTTATTTATTATTTATTTTTAAGTAATATTAATTACAATTTTTTTTACACATTATTTTTCACTTTACATTGTCTTTTCTATCAAAACAATGACAATTTTTTTTATTATATAAACAAAATATTATTAATTTATTTTTTTACGAGAGGAAGAAGAGAATCAACGTATATAAAATTATTTTTTATATTTATATTTATGATTTATTTTAAATATATACTAATTTAAATATTTAAGTTATTTTTTATACATTAAACTTCAAAATATTAATATTAACATAAGAGAACTTTTTACAGTACACTTCTTTAACCATTATATTAAATTAACCTAATAAAAGTATAGTATTACTTAAAAGTAATATTTTACTCTATTTTAAATTAATTAAAATAATTTCAAATATAGCCTAAGATAAATAATAAAATACATCATATACAAAAATATAATAATTGAAACCAAAAAAGATATATAGTTAAACTATTGGTTTGTGAATAAAAATTACAAAAAATAAAAATTAATATGTCCATTTTATCATTTATATTAATAAGTTATTTTATCAAAAAAATTTACTAAATGCTAATTGTATAATATTCAAGCTTAAAAGAATTGAGTTATCACCTACTAACTTTGAATTCATTTTAAAACTTTCAATTATCCTTTCCTAAACATAGTCATAATATCAGTGATAGAAACATTAGGGCCACCCTTGAAAAAAAAAAACTCCAAAAAGTAGTTAGTAATTGAAAGTTATTAACTAATTTATTACAAATTACATGTGTTTCTAGTAAATTTACCAATTAGAATAACTTATCAATTTAACGAGACAAAGTAGTCATGTTTATAATATTTTATTTTATTTTATTTTTGTATTGATGTAATATATTTTGAGGCTTTAAACATTTATAATTTTTTTATTTATAAAAAATTTATTTTAATTATTTTATTTTTTATGTACTTTTATATATTGTATTTATGATTAAAATTATACTATATTTTATAATATTTATATTCGAAATTTAAATAAAAATAAAATAATGTATTTTTAAGAAACACAAAACAAAGTAAATACAATTGAAATACACAAGAAAATATTTAAAAGTAATAATTTTTCTAAAATAAAAAAAAAACAGATTAGTGGTTAAAAAAACTAAATTAAAAAAAATTGGTGTGTTACTCTTAATTAATCAGATTTTAATTAAATGAGAATAAAATTTAAAAAATCATAAAATCAACTAGGATATTATTGAATCGGTTATATTATTGAAAAAAAAGTAGGATATTTTTTTAAATAAAAAAATAATATATTTTATTTTTTTATCGTATATTAATTATATAAACTTTAAATAAAAATTATTTTTTATATTTTTTTAATTATTTTTTATTCTTTAATATGTTTATATTTATAATTTTTATTATAATTTATGATAATCATAACAATAATATATTTGTTATTTATAAAAATATTATTATTAATAAATTTATTATATTATAAAAATATAATTTTATTAAATTCCGATTTAATTTTTAAACCTCCAACCATGTCTCTCCTGTTCAATTTAAAAAATATGGGGGGATAATAGTAATGTGCACATAGATTATGACATGGCCAATCATAAGACCAACTCTTTTTTGTCACAACCAGCCAAGGCCTGAAATGCTGGCGTAAAAAACTGTATCTATAATTTGGAGATATGTGAAAAAATGAAAAGAAAAAATTATATATAACAGTTAAACACGGGTGTTGAATTAAAACTGAACTATGAGACATGTTAGGTTAGACTAGATGATAATAATACACGGGTGTTGAATTAAAACTGAACTACGAGACACTAGATGATAATAATAAAAATAAATATTTTATTATAAATTATATATATTTTGTTTAAAATAAATGTTTAAATTAAAAAAATACCAATAATTTTGATCAATTTTAAAATAATTTATTCATAAAATTTATAATAAATTTTTTTAAGTATTTTTGACTAAAAATTATTTTTTAAAATATTTTCATTAATTTCTCCTTCCCACCTACTTCATTCAGAGTACAATGAATGTCACGTTGCATGCAATTACATTTTATAATTTAGTGGGTTGGAATAGTTTTTGAAGTGAAAAGTTACTTTTTGTTGTCAGTGAATTTCATACTAATTGAAGATATGAAGGTGATCTACACAAAATGTATCATACTAATTTGTCTGTGTTCTTCTGATCTCATGTCACAATGACTGCGGTTTGGAGGAATTGTGGTGCTCTGATTCTGGGTCGTGCTTGGGTATAGTTATGGTAACCACTATATCTTGGTTGCTACACATCATTTCTTTATCATATTGGTCCCACGTGTCTGTGGGCCAACGCGCTTCTATTCCTATTAAACCATCAATTTAATTCTTACTCACACAAAACAAAACTTACCTCTCTTTACCCATTATATTTATGCTTTAACCATATACTTTTTTTGGAATTAAAGCTATAACCCCAAAATGTACTACATTTTCAAAAAGAATAAAACAAATGTTTAATACATGTAATATAAAAACTACTAAACGTCTTTAATTTATAGCTCTCTCCAAGACAAAATGATACAAACACATTATTTAAATTTTACCAACTAAAATTTATTAAAAAATATATTTTGTTGTGAATCCCAAAATCTAATTAATAATCATACGACCCGATATATATTTCTTTAATAAAAATATATATTATTGAGTACAAGATTTTGAATAAGTGCAGGAGAGAATGAGAGTGAGAGATACTGACTGGGACCTGCCTGACTGTGTAGTGCCCCTGTTTAGCAGACTTTTGGGGTCCCCGGTCCCACTTACAGTGCCGTGTACCCATCAGTATCTGTCATGGGCTTTATTGTCATTTCCTTTCGTGTGGGGACGCATCAACGTTTCTACCGATACCTTCGATGATTTGTTGCATCGCCTTACCCACATAACTCCGGTTCCTTACTCCTACCTCCGTTGTAACTATCTATATAAGGACCTCTCTCTCTCTCTCTTCTTTTCAACCATCTTCGTCTCACGCTCTAGCTCAAACACTGCATAGAATACTATATACCATACCTATTTCCCTTTCTAAATTTCCAAACATGAAAAACACAAACACTACCATTAGTGGTTCATCAAAACTTGATCGCAAAACTATTGAAAGAAACCGCAGAATCCACATGAAAGATCTCTGCTTCAAGCTTGTTTCCATTATTCCTTCCAAGTACCTCAAACCCACCAAGGTACGTATAGTTAATTGATCCATACTCACATCAAATAACTCAACCAATCCATGAAAACCATAGAAATTTAGCTAGAATTAATTAAATGAACGAATGTTTCAGGGCATGCTTTCCCAGCAGGATCAGCTTGATCTTGCAGCCACGTATATACAGCATCTGAGAGAAAGAATAGAGAAACTGAAGGTTGAGAAGGAACAAGCCATGGACATGATGAGAATAACCCACACCAATAATGGGATTTTCAATATTGACTCTCAGTTGCCTCTACTTGAGATAAAGGACTTGGGTTCGGGTATTGAAGTGATGTTGATAAGTGGGGTGAATAAGAACTTCATGCTCCACGAAGTAATTAGTGTCCTTGAGGAAGAGGGTGCTGAAGTTGTCACTGCCAACTTCTCTACCGTTGCTGATAGGGTCTTTTACACAGTTCATGCTCAGGTACAATATGTCATATAGATATCTATATCTTTATTTCTTTCTCTTCTGTACAATAAAATAAATTATTCTTAAATGTGTGTGGATAATGGGTAAGTCTTTTGGGTCTATTTTAGGGAGGGTAAGCTTTTGTTAGAGTGGAGAACAACCACAGAATTTATTCTCATTTTGATTACCATCCTTTTTATTTCAGGTTAAAATATCAAGAGTTGGTGTTGAGCCGACGAGGGTATATCAAAGGCTTCGGGAATTGATTGCACCACTAGAAAGCTGGCAGTACATATAGTTATCGGAAGGGTGGCCAATTAGAAGATGACAACATGCAATGGGAGTGGTTATATATGCACATCATAGCACCTTAATAAGCAGGATTAGGTTGCAAACGTTTTAGGAAAATAACTTGTTAAAAGAAGTTTCTTCTCTTCAGGTGTTCACCTTTCATGTATTTCATTGGTTTGATCAGCCATTTATTTCGCGTAAAACAAAATGCGTCCTTAAATTTAATCATTCTAGTTAAAATGTAGGGTTGGAGTTGTGATCAAATTATAATCTGGCGCTTTAGAACCCTAAACCCTAAACATTCAGTTTGCTTGATAGCACCATTAAAGACGTATAATGGTGATGATTTTATGCCATTTTGCCGTTTGATTCTAGCCTTCTTAAATGTATAGCAGATGATAATTATAGATTTCAACCACAATTGTTTTTCCAGAAAAGCCAAGACAATTGTTTTTCAACAAGATGACAGAAAGAAAGCCAAGAGATTCCTGATTTGTCGAATATGACTATGAACGCCCCGGACTCGGACTCGTAGAGAAAATGATATTACATGCATGCCACTAATAATTAGTCAAGAGTTTTATTTGAACTTTGCTATCAGTTTCAGTATGAATTAACAACTTAACAAGCTTAACTTTGGGTTTTTCCCAAGGGACCTACCAATCACGTCTTTGGGTTGGCATCTTGGAGTCTTTGCCTTCTACTGTCATGCACATGGTTGAACTTGCCTTTCCACTTAACAAGCTTAACTAATTGCATTAGTATATCTCATACAAACATGCCTATTACACTCATCCATAAAATAAGGAAAACATATTTTAATACAACTCATATCAAACAATTAACTAATAGATAATTGATGAGAGAATAAACAAAACAAAAAAAGAATGAACATAAATATTATTATTATTATTATTATTATATTAACAGAAAAAGATGTCAAATAATTGTTTTTTAAATTAAGTTGTCAGTATTCTAAAAATAATACATACGATTTTTGTTAGATGACACTATTTTTTAATTTAATACAAACATCCGTAAAGGTTCCAAAAGTTTTCCTCTCAGATATAAAACACAAGGGCGTTGCAAAATTATATACTATTCAACCATTAGATTAGACGCATAGTTTTCTTCTACTACAGTCGAAAACTTGTGATGAACACAAATTTTCATGTCCAAAGTTTAAAAAGCTTCCCTGAGAAAAGAAAATAAGCTCTTATTAGTTAATGCTAACAAGATACATTATTTCAGGCTAGTTTTTTTAAAATAATTATTTAAATAGGTAAATTTTAAATAAATTACGGAATATAGATTAATCATGTTTTAAAATATGATAACTTATAATAAAATAATGAACCGTCTTTTCAAAATAAGACTTCAATACGTTTCTAGAGAATTATTATCATGTTATAAAATACGATTTATTTATATTCTGTAATTTATTTTAATTTTAACTATTTCAATAATTTGATTAAACTTAAAAAAGAGGACGACATACGTGCACTATTGATCCCGAGCCTCCTTAACTTTTTTAATACGTATTATTTAATAATAAAATAGTTTTTTATTAATTTTTTTCCTCTTTCTTTATGGAGCCCTTCCAGAAATTCGGAATTTTATTTAGAAGTTTAATTTTACAAATAGTTATAACTTAAGCGTCATTAGTTTCTTCTGTATTTTGTTTTGTTAATATATATATATATATATATATATATATATATATATATATATCAATTATATTTAATGATTTTATTATAAGAGAATATATTATGTTTTAGACACAGTTTTCATTTTTTAATAGTTGTTATTGTGAGGAATTTACAGTTTTTCTATTTGTAAATAACATATTTGAGTATTATTTATCTATTTCAATATTTTTTATAAGCTTTTGTTATTATTTAAGATTATGAATTATTGTTATAAATAATTATTGGATGTTCATTCCTTTTAATAATTTATTATTTTTTTAGTATTATTTATATAATTTAAATGATTATAACTTTTAAATAATATTTTTGGATTACATTCTTGCACTTATAACTCTTTTAATAAATCTAAGAAAATCATATCTTATTTTTGTTTATACTTATTTCAAATCATACTTTATAACAATTGTAAAATTATATAAAGGAACAATAGGTTAAAATTCAAGACATTGGTAAGTATTTGTTTATGATATATATATATATATATATATATATATATATATATATATATATATTTTATTTAAATTAGATATTAAAATATTTTTATTATTATTTATAATAAAAAATATTATACTATTATTCTGATTTAAGTAATTAAGATTGATATATTAGTAATATTTAAAATCTGATTATATTTTTTTAATATATATTAAGTAATTAAGGGTATTTTTTCTAAGAAAAACGGCAAGAATGAAGACTAAATATGAATAATTCAGCATGCAGAGTGTATCCATCCATTTTTAACGTGGGATTAGTAGGAAATGCGACTTTGTTTTACACACGTGGTCATCGATAATGCGTGAATGAGAAGATTCCAAACCGAAAATACGATTAGGACTTTGATGAAAGCCTGAAAGAAGAAGATGACCAAGTTGCATGTATCTTATTCTATTGTGAAGTCAAAGTATTGGTTTAATGGAGTAAGAAGTCACGCGGTTTATTTCATGTCAGAAGAAGCTTCGCCGCAACTCACCACTCACCACCATGCTGTTGCTTCAGTTCAGTCCCAGTTCACACACACTTGTCTAACTTTTCATTTCACTGAAGGACAAATTAGGAATGGATTATGATGGATGGGACAAATAACTTTTTCAAATAACTGATTCTGAATCATACAGGGTCTCATGAATTCCTCTCTGCTACTGCTACTGCTACTGCTACACACACCGTATAATAATTATTTTATAAAACTAACAGGTACTATGGATTACCCTGACTTCAAACTTAAACAGACCAAACCATAAATTCTTACTTAATTTTTTTAAAACTTTCGACTGGACTTATCCAATCAAATCTATTTTCACACTCAAATATAAAATTATGATGACGTATAAGTATAACTTATTTATCCCTGGTGTGTTTATTTTTACGTGTAAGTGTATGTATGAATCATTAGGCGTGTGTGGTTGTAAAAGTTTAGTGGTAGGCAGAGGGGTTGTTTTGTACCCCCTACTTCCATTATAAAATTTTACAAAATCATAAGTGTGATCATTTAAAAGAAATTTTTTTAATATTTTTAAAATAGTTAAATACTATCAGGAATCAAAATTGCCCTTTTTGAGATTATTTCTCCCACTTCTGCATAGTATCTGTGTTTAACGTGCTTGAATTTGCAAAAAAAAAAGCTACGAGGAAGAGACCAAAATAAAAAAAACTTGAAAGTCATCTACCATTGTGTTTCTCTCTGTACAATTTTAAAGATAATGAAGAAACAGGGACAAAAATAAAATTATATTGGGGTTGTTGAAATTTGAAAGCAACATTTTTTTTATGTAATATTTAATTTTCCTTCATTAAAATTTACTAAAATATATAGAATAAAATTATAAAATAAAAAGGGTAACTCTTTAAAATATGTGATTTTTAACAAATTTAGTTAATAATAAAAATGTGTTTTATTTTTCTTGATTATTTGCTCAAAACTGTAGAGGATATGTTAGGCCAATAATAGAGTAAAAGTCAAGTGAGAAAGAAGCATATATATTGAAAAATAATAATAAAAAGATTGGAAATATAAGTTAATAATGTTATTTAAAATAAAATCAAATGTTCATTATAAAATTACATGCATCAAATTACATACATTGCACTTTAATAAAGGAAAATATACTTGAGAATTTATTTTAGATATATAATTTTTTAATAGGAAGTAAAAAAAAACGAGAATATAATTATTTTTATTATTATCATTATATTGATAGAAGTTGTTAAAATATTTTTTTTTATTTTTATTGTTCATATCACTTTTCTTCAATTAATTATGTATTTTAGATAAATAATGCCTTGTTTACCCATCTTATTTTTGGTTTCCCGTTCTCTTAAAAAAAATCAAGAAAATTATAATTTTGAGAAAACAATTTTTTTAAAAGTATTGTTTAATTAAAAAAAACTTAAAAAAAAGGATTATTAAACAAAAAAAAATCTTCTTCTTCAACTTACCCGTTTTCCCTTTTTATTTTAAACCTCAATGTTGAAGAATAAAATATCCTAAAAATTTAAATACAAATTTTAACTTTTCTTTAACTTTAAAAAGTCAGAACAAATTTAATATTATCTAAGAATATACATTCTGGTGGTATAGAAAATTTTAATATTTTTCTTTATTTTCTTTACTTTGATATTTAAATAGGGCATTGTTTTTAATAACTCTGTTCGACGAATATTGTGAGCAGCCTTTTTGTATTGATATTTTGTAGATATAAGAACACAACAATATTTTTTTTTTTTAAATGGTACGAGATGCATCTAACCATGGCCCTAGGCCTTTCTAATGTTTTTTAAAATAAAAAATAGAATGGGCTTATAATTGTTATTCACACCTCAGTATTACTAACGTACCTAAATCTTATATAATTATTTAAAAGTGTTTTTTACAGTCCTTTTCAAGAGTGTTACGAAAAAGTACTTTATGATTTTTTTTTTCCCATATCTCAGAAATAGTTGTCGGAAGCGTTGAAAATGTAAAACTATTTTAAGCTAAATTTTACAAAATTGAGCTTTTATGTAAAACTTTAATTTGAAATGTTGTTTTGATGATAACCAACATACTATGAAACTAGCTGTACAATAATATATCATGAGACTAAATTTATTTTCTAAACCGAGTTTGGATTACCCAATCCAAACATAGATTAGCAACATTTGGAAAATTTTAAGAGTACTTCTCAAAAATTTACTAGTACCTGTGTAAAATAATTGGAAAACAATTCATATACTCATTTTTGTTGCAATTTTCAGAAAAAAAAAAACTAAACTTTTTTTGAGATTTTGAAATTATGCTTGTGATCATGAATTTTGTGGA